ACTCTATGTCCCAGAGTATTACTGGTTTGCCTGTATGCTGGTACAGAGACTGGTGCCTCTGCCAAGCAAGTTAAAGCTGAGGGTGACCCACTATACCAGGAAAGAGTGGAAACAACTGCCAGAAGAGGAGAAAGAGAGACTGCGAGCCATTGCCAAGGGCGTACATGATGACATTTTGCAGATATTCCATGACATGCCTCACTCTTTGTGGTTTATATTTCGGTAAGGGGTCCTGACCCATGGTTGTTTGCACCGAGGACAGACTAGGTTTTGGTGGGATGTCATGACGATATGACAGGCACTGTAGTGATGGGACAGAATGAGAGCTAGGTCTCCTGTTTCTGATACAGTTGTAGCAGTTTTCTGTGAGGGTCGTGAAGTCATGGCGGGGCAAAAGGAACTTGTGATGCTTGGGTCACTTTTATGGTTCCAATGATAGCTAGACCCCCAGTGATCAGATTGAGAACTGCCTCCATTTAAACTGAATTGATAAACCCTTTGGGTATCCTTCCTAATTTGTTATGAGATGGATATTATAGGAAAATTGAATCTCATGCCAATTCCAATTTCCTTAACTGGAAACAAGATTTTATAATAAATAATCTCAACGTCTGGTCAAAGGTCTACATCATGGAATCCCCAAAGGCTTCATTGAGAATATATGAGCAATACTTATCAGTACCAGTATAGTGAAACCTTTCACTTTTCAGACCATAACCTATTTTGTGAAATCCTGGTCCAACGCCCTGTGAAACGCAACACATTTTTCCTGCCCAGTAAAATGACCGAGGAAGATGTGCGCTACATGCAGAACATGGCCAAAGATCACTTTGATCAAGTCATGGCCGTCCTCCGTGACATGCCGAGGTGTATGTTACTAATGATCAGGTGGGTGGGGGCTTAAATTATATTAACGCCTTTGATAGACTCGTTTATGCCCTGTGTTATTGCATTTACGCCCTATCAAGAAAGTTTTTTTTTTGCTGATTCACCTTGTATTTTGCTTTTGGTCTGTAGATGGCTAAAATTTTAAAGTTAAAAGATGGCAACATATAATATCTCCAATAAAATGCTCCCTCTTTTTTTTGTCCTCGAAGATTTGCTTGCTTTGTCTTTTGTTATCATTTGGCAGCTGCTTCGCTCTTCGTTTTTTGCCTCATTTATTTTCTACTGCAACTGAATTCCCATAATGTTCATTTAGGAATTAGTTCTCTTAGATGTGCTGTAAAGCATGTTTGAAGGAGCTTTAGCTCAATTATGTTCTGATCCAATCACTTACGTAAGCTTATAGTTTCTAAAGGCAAATTTTGTGCTTTTTATTACCAGGATTTCACTTTTATTTATTTATTTATTTATTTTAATAATAGGATTTACTTTTTAATTGTGCTGGGCTGATAAATAATCAGTCACTACTGATTAACCTAGGAATGATAATAAATTTTCACTATAAACTAATGGCAGAGGGGCGGCGGGGGGGGGGGAGAATGGCTTATTTGCAGCTCTGTTCTGTTTCTCTCATTCTGTCCCATGTGCCGTGCTTTCAGCCTGTCAACCACTTGCTTTTAATGTTGTATATCACAAAATATAGTAAAAATTGACAAATTAAAAGACTTTTTACTTAAATAACTGACTGATTAGTTGGCAGTCTTTCAACATGCATATTTAATACCAGGGAGCCTTCACCTCTTGAATGGGGAATCTCCCAATTAGTTTTAATTTATATTCTGTTATTTTCATTATTTTGATGTCATATGTGCTATTTTCCAAAATGTATTTATTTTATCATAAAATCTATATTATGTGATCATCAACTTTGTTTCAGAAACTTGAACACCATCCGAGCTATCAACCGTATCCATGGACACCCTGTGGACAGATATACTATCATGGCTAGGAGGTAATTTTTATACACTCTTAGGTCACATTTCCATTCCTAGATTGATCTAACAGGATCGATTCAACTCTGAGAGATTTCTCGCTAAATTAGTTTCAGGTTATGTGGCTTGGATGTCTAGCACGCCTATTGAAGCTGTTAGGGGTAACTATTGTAACTATTGTTTAGAGATTTAACTATTGTTAAACTGAATGTAATTTAGCGAGAAACCCCTCGGAAGATGGATTGATCCTGTTAGATCGATCTAGGTATGGGAATGGGGACTCAGGGCACATTTAGAACAAGTAGATCCATGGACGAGTAGCGCATTCAGAACAGCAGACTAACAGATCCGTGGATCAAATATGGCTGACCCACTTGAATGCTTGTTGCTTAATCCCTGCGGGGAATCTATCCAGTGTCTAATTGGGGAATTAAGCCTCAAGCTTTTAAGCTTGCTGAATAATCCTAATAGACACTGAATAGATTCCTAGCTGTGAGGATTACGCGCCAAGCTTTCAATTGGGTACAACATATTTGATTTGTGGATCTGTTTGTCTGCTGGTCAACTTTGGTTGAGAATTTGGCCGTAATAAGACTAATTCTATCAGTGTGCTATTATAAATATAAGAGCACATACCAGGCCATAGAAATAGTAAACTGTCATTTGTCTAAAATCATAGAAGTTTTTTTCCAGAAATAGTATACTGTCATTTGTCTAAAATCATAGAAGTTTTTTTCCTAAAAGGAATTTTCAGAAGAGGTACAGAAAGTGTGTGTATTAGTAATGTTATTCAGTATTCCTTAAATATGCTTTAAGAGCTGCCGTGAGACATTGAATATGATAGGCCAATGTTATATTTCCAGTGCTATTAAGGGCTGCCATGTGTCAGAGGGACAGAGGATAGGGCTGCTAGGGACAGTCAGGACCCTGTGGGAGAGATGTGTGCTGGACTACAGCTTATTGTGAGTTGGAGTCACATTGGAAAAATATTCCACAATAATATTCTCTTCTGGCATGTATTTTAAAAAAAATTTCGTTGCCATTCCATTTGGTGGACTTTCAGTTAAGATCAAGAGATGAAATGCCGTGAAGATTGTACAGTTATATTACAATGTGATAAGTATGATTAGTATTAATTTTGTTGGTTCTTATGAGATATGAAAAGATCAGACATGAGCCTACTAGGTTAAAAAAAAAAACTCTGAACATTTAACACGTACACTAACCCAACACCTAGCCGGCCAGAGGTCAGGGGTCGCCTTAGAATTTAATTTAAAAACGTGGAATTCCACGATTCTGCGGAAAAAGCTCATGTCTGAGAGATGTCTGTACAAAAAGAAGGGTACAGATAATAGGAAGGGAAAAACCGTGTGGAATAGCCCATGGAGATTTTGCTTAAAGTACCAGGAGGCATTACTTTAATATTATTTTTATATTATCCGAAAAAATCATGTTTGTTTGATCTGTGGTTGTTTCACCTTTTTTTGTGGTAATTTCAGGTCAGAGCGCTTTAAGTTTTGGATAATCGTGAAATACATCCAAGTGATGCATTACCTTGGAAAGATACCTGATGTGATGACCATGATCCAGGAACAGGAAAGAAAGTGAGCAGTTTCTTTATTAAGTTGTGAACTCGCATCTCAAACTGGTTTACATATATCGTTTACATATATCTTCAGACACAGCATGTGTCAGTATATTTGCCAGCTTTGCTGTATAGTTTATTTTGGTAAACATCCCCATTACGGTGCAATTCAGTCTTTCAGATATTAAGTATTACTGCTCAGCTTCCAGGTATTTATCTGAACATTATAATATAATACATTTTTTTATGATTTAGAAAAAAATTTATATTAAAACTAGCTTGTAATATAACACTCCTTGATATTTCAGGTCTGTTTTGGTCTTTCATATTTAATTAATATTTTCAGGTATGAGAGATTATGATCACATTCACAGAGACATGACATATGTGACTTCCACTGCCTCCAACTCACCAGAGGAAAAAGATTTATGGATAGTAGAATTTCTCACCTCACCAGCGGGATAAAATGATTCATTAGTGGATATGAATATTTAACGAATGGCCAACACACATATTTAATAATTTATTCTTCAAAATGATATATTGGTTCTTTTGACCGCCAGTGCCCTCAGCTTTCTGCTGTAATTTTATAGTTTATGACTAGATGGAGAATATACCTACAGTTTTAAGAACGACATTTATTGCAACTGTTCACAATTTTTTCAATGGTGCATTACCATTACTAATGAGATTGGTCTTTGGAGTGGGTTAAAAGAGGAAATACATGAAGCAGGGACCTGACTTCAAAGTATATTGGTGTTACTGAAAGTAAATAGCTAAAGATGGGGTACACTCTGCTGTACTCTGTATAAGATATCATTCCCATACCCTATTGAACTAGCAGGATCGATCTATCTCTGAGGGGTTTCTTGCTAAATTGCATTTAGTTTAAGCCTGCACAAAAGCCAATTACCCCCCTGGCAGCTTTAGTGGGCGTGACAGACATTTAAGCTGCTTAAACTGAATGCAATTTAGCGAGAATCCCCTCCGAGTTAGATCGATCCTGCTAGTACGATAGGTTTATGGGAACCCAGTCTCAGAGATAAACAGCATGGATGCTCCACAGACTGCATTTTATACATACAGAAGAATCTGTATACACATGTTTCAATTATTCAGAACCTCGTTAAAATGTACTTTGATAGGTGTGGTGTGTGTGTGAAGTGGTGAAATAGGATAGGAAAGTTGCTTTCTTTGCAGGAAGCTTTTTTATTTCCTGCTGCAATCAATTTTGTATTGAAGTCATTCAGATTGAGATTTTTCTCATAAGTAGCATTGGTTTGGATTACCCTGAGGTTCAGAGTATTTGGAATGAGGTTGCTCTATCTCCCTTTCACAATCACCCTGAGTTTCAGAACATTTACATTGACTTCTTTCGACAGAATGCTGTCTGTCATCCAGAATCACTGACTTTTCTCCACCTGGACAATTTGTAGTCTCATAAAAAGAGGGGATAACTCCCCCCCCCCCCCCCCCATTATGCCGTAATATGTACTGTGGTATACTTTGTGAGGCAGAAATTGTAACACAAACCAATGCTAACTCGAATCTCTTTTATGGAAACCCTCCGCTGTGTATTATACATGTAAGTGTTAACTGTATGTTGTTGATGTACGTGTAATCACTTGTGAATAGTTATCAACTATTTTGAAAATAGAATCAGATTAAAAGACTTCTTTGAGAAACATGCTGAGATTAAGCTATTATACTTGACCGTAGACTTAATGTTATTACATTGTAAATTATTTTTATGTAAATGATGTGGAAGTGCACAATTTATATTAAATGATGTGCTTCTTGCCATTATGACATAGATTTTGATACAGTCTTAATTATTTATTTTGGCAGATTGGGGTTTTAGTCAAAATTCAGGGTAAGAACGGGTCAGTTGGATGCTCACTATAGTGACCTGCAATCAGTAATTTATAGCATGACTATGAAATTCAAAACAATACATTTTATTGACTATTTATCATAATAAAAATGATAGTTTAAGTATTTATTCATTGCAAGCATGTGCTGTAAGATGTTTTTTACATACATAAACGCATTAACTGTTACATAGAAAATAAACTCCCTATTTTGAAGAAGTGGAATTCTTGTAATGGTGTACGTGAATTTCTCTCTCTCTCTCTCTCTCTCTCTCTCTCTCTCTCTCTCTCTCTCTCTCTCTCATGACCTCAATAAAAAAGTTGTAGCCTAAACTGCAATTTACTATACAACGAGGTGTTAACATGAAATAAATAACGTCTTTTAGGACTCGCGGTTTTTCCACACAGAAAACCATCATCTCAAAACCTTAATAAACTAAAGTCTCTTTAAAAAGGAAAATCGACTTGTAAATGAAAATAAACATTAATTATCATCTGGTAAATTTAACAGTAAGTACCAATGCAATATGTTACAAGTAATCCTAATGGAACAATACTTGATCAAAACAAATTATTGCAAGGAGTTTGCGGATGCGGCAATGATTGTTTCGCTGACAAACACAGATAGCGCCACATATCGATCGCATTGTGCCGCCTCGTAGAACTCCCTTGTCCAAACAAGTCGATGCTGTGTACCCTGCTAAATAGCACAACTTACTCGGATGTAATACCGCCGATTACATACTGAAAAGGTTAGGCTGACTGTGCCAGGGCTTTGGATAAGAACGTCGATATCTGCGCTTTGCTTTTGTCATCTTTTTCTCGGTGTTGCGCTCTGCTTTTGTTAAACTGTTAGCACGATAAATGTGGCTTGATATAATGGCGTTTGTTCTGCCAGGCAGCATTGATCTGTACGTTTATTTTATTTGGCAGTTTTAGATAAGTGTAAATTACGTTTCCGACCAATTCTCTTCCTTGTAAAAGGGCCAAAAAATAAAAATGCAAAGTATCGTTTGTCCTTTTTACAAGCTAGGTATGTTATGCTTTCATTGGGGTCAACACATCTTACGATATAATCCACGGAAATTAAGGATGGATGTTGAATCAAACGAGATTGAACATCTTGTTGCATACGTAACCTAAAATATTGAAACACAAATCGGTGTCTACAAAGTTGTCTAAATTTAGATGTTGAAACACAAAGCAGGTTTGATTTTTGCCTTGACGACGCGCGGAAGGTTTGTTTTTTATCGGACAGGGTCAATATTCAATGGGAAAACGGCATATTTTACTGACTTTAAGCTCGGTTTATTTTACCGGCGGGGCGTTCCGCAAAACGTCGTTGATGTCAGCACCGACTATCAGTAAAAAGGTGATCACTGAAGCGCACTGGCACTGTTTCATTATATCGAACTTGCACCCTCTTCTACAGGCTCAAGCTTATACAATCGCCAGATCCAGACAAGCTGGCAAAAACAACAATGATAATAATAACATATTTATAGTCTAAAATCCATAAAATGTTCAGTAGATTTTACAACGTATAAAATTGATAAAAGTCTATAGCTAAGAATGATTAGGAGTTAAGTGGTACATATAATAAAAATTTGACTATAGGAAAAGTAATTAAAAGTACCGTTCTGATCTCTCAATGGATTATATTTACTCATCTGTCAAAAGTTTTCTCTTACCTGTATTTTAAAAACATTTTAATGAACTCTATCTAGCATCTCAAAAGTTTTTTTTTTTGTCTGTCCTTATGTTATCTGTTTATTTACCTAAAACAAAGTTTAAGACATTGCCTCAAATTTGACTCAAAGAACACGAGTTTTTAGCTCCCAGTCTTTTTTTTTTTAAATTAAAACAGATGAAGCTTTATTATAGTTAACTCGAAGATTGATTGCTACATTATCCGGTTGCACCGCTTGTTTTCTGACGTGTAAAAGTACGTCAACCACCATCTCTGCTGCTGCAGAGGGTATGACGGTGGATATCGAACCGAGTCGCTATTTGTTCATAAGACTTCATTGTTTGAATAATTAATGCGTCACACACACCTTGCGTCTCTCATTTGAACACATGATTAAGCTATCTGTCACAAACAGAATTCTCTTTAAGCAGAACAGAGGCCGTGCGCTCTCCAGAAGCATGGTAGATTGAAGAAATACTGAAACAGCATTCGGATAAAATGAAGCCATCAACGCACTTTACACTGGTGGCGTCTTTCTTGGCGCTCCTGGTAAGTTTTGTTTGACTATTTTTTGTAGTGAATTTCTCTCCGCCGAGAGCAGATTTCTGTCAGTGTACGTGGAGTTTTTTTTTTTTTTTTTTTGTATAGAATAAGTTGAAATGTAGAACATGGATGGTTTTACGCAGTGAGTTAATTTAACATGAAATTTGAGTGTCACATACATTGCGTCTTGTTCAAATAACCCATGAAAAACAAATAATCCATGAAAAACAACAAAGGGTTTACTAATGGAATTTACAAAGCGTATATAACGAAAGGATATAATGTTTGTACCTGAAGAAGCATTGAAATGTACAAAAGGTCGCTGTTTTGTAACGATGTTGGGTAGCTACGGTGAAAATTAACTATGGACAAATCACAACAAACTTGAACCCCAGAAAAACAGATCAGCAATCAAAATCAGATCAAAATCAGATCTTACGAAATTGTCAAATAAAATAAATTCTTTAAACATGTTTCTGTTGATTTTACGGCTATGATGATTGTGCTTTTTTCATTATACTTCATGTTGCCGAATTGAAAAGGAAAGCTTTTATCTAAATTGCATTTTATCTATTTCAGATCCTCATTTCACGAGCTCAAGGTAGGTTGCTCAGAATGAACCGTTGTTTAAAGTTATTACCAGATAAATATATAAAATGCAATTGCCTGTTAGAACAGGATCATAAAGTTATATTATATTATATTATATTGGCATTTACTAGTGGCTAAGTTGGGCATAACGTTTTAATGCTTATTCATAATGATAAAACATAGGGCGTATTCCCAGAGCTTTTAGATCGATCTATCCCCGCGGGGAGTCTCACTAGATTACTGTCAGATAATCCGGCTTAAATGTCCGTCCCGCCTACTACAAGCTGTAAGGGGGTAATTAACTTTCGTGCCCGCTCGGCTGACAGCTATTTAGCGTGAACCCCCAGGGAGTTAGGTCGATCTAAAGTAGATCGATCTAATCTCTGGGAATGGGGTCATAGATGGGGTAAATATGCATTTATAAATAAATTCATTCGTTTATTGGTTTATCTTACTGGAATTTGTGACATCAACGAGCCCAGCTCAGTTGAGGAAATATCTTGTCTCATTCGAACATCTTACGTGGTTTGATACTGCGTTTCTATTAAGTTTAATAACTCCTGTCACTTCGACTTTTAACGTTTACGTAAGTGCCTCTTCTCAGAATTAGGCTTATTGTCTTAATGTGAACATTTTAAGATAAAATGCCATCACAAGAACATTACCGTCGAATCGAGGACTTAAACGCAGTGGGGATAGGTAGAGAAATAAAACACCGTTTTGCCTCCCTATAATGGGGAGGTTTGAACGCATTTTGAAAATTTTCTCTGCCTTCGAACTGATCTAGAAGTTAGCAGCTACATGTAGAAGAGCCTCTGGTTGAAAGAACATTTAAACTGAGCTTATTAGACTATATGGGGGTCTGAGGGCGAGCCTCATGGGCATTGATTGTGATGAACGGTAGCTACTGTACCGTTATGTAACTGTTCATAGATGTTTAAGCTTGATGATATTGTTGACAAACACTACAATTATCATAAGTAATCAGTCGAGATCTCTACAAACACGGACGTCACCTACCGGTGCTACTATTTAGTACTAGTCTTAACCACTTATTTTACGTTCGCGCCATGGTACCGCGGTTTGAGACGTTAATTCGGCGTTCGCGACCACAAATCCACAAGCTTCTCTTTATGTCTCCTCATTAACCCAAGCGAAAGTATAAGTAAAGGATAAGCACAAATATGGTGTTCGAAATTTGGCCGGTAGAGGTTGCTTTTATTGAAAGGTCCCTCTAGTAAAAAAAATAGTGTTAGTTATTATTTAATAGCATTAGATAATATTGAATTAATTAAGTAATGTTATAGCAAATAAATATCAAAATAAATAGTGCACATATATTATTTTCATTTGTGGGGTTGTAAAGAGGCCAAAAATTGAAACCAGAAAAGAATGAAAAATTCAAAGCAAAATAACGTAAGCCGAAATAATGCAAGCCAAAATATATGCATACTAATATGCATATATGAATATTTTGTACAAACGGAAGCCAAGAAAGTTATTCGCCAATATTAAAAAGCCGAAATGAAGCCATCGAGCAACAACAAAAAATTCTTCATATCCCGACCCATCAGTCAGCCAAACAACGGTGCATTCGTTACACATCTGCATAGAAATCTTGCCTTCCTAAACAAACACTGAACAGCATTTAATGGGAATATTCACAATTTTTTTACGATACATGGTGCAAAACTGCCTCGGTCTGAAATTAAGACGACTAAAACTGTCAATTTTATACTAGGCCGATTTAACTTGCGTAGAATCATATGTTGGAAAAATCTAATTATCACAGTGTGTGGAACTTACTTGCATTTGGTTAATTTTTCTGTTAACATCCACATGGTTTCACATGCATTCAGAACTGTGGTGAACATTATGGTGCGTAATGCAGTGATCATCTAGACCCATGGTCTTTTAACTTGGGAAAGATGACCAGGCAGCGTCTGAAGTGGAATAGGAGTAGAAATATCAAAAGAAAAAAGAAAAATGCCGATTTAAAACCCATCATCAAGTTAGTTACATTATCAAAACAATTATAAATACAAATGTATTTTGAAAGTTACAAGAATGTCCGTTAGTGAATGAAGATCGAGTTACTTTGATATCACTGCCAATTAGAAGCGTTTTTTAATACAGGGAATAGACGAGTCAGTTAGATAAATTGTAGGCCAAATTGCTGACCAATGAAAAACATTATTTTAATATCAACTGCGTTCAGTCTAATAAACGATTTGACCGCAAAAATACCGTTGACATACCGCAGTAAGCTATTGTCACAATTGTGAGTTGATGAGGATGCGAAGACACATTAGGCCAATAATGGGCCTTAGGCTTTCGTTGTGGAACTTAATGAAAAAGAAGTTAGTGGCCTTTAAGGTATTTTTTCTAAACACATCTTAGTCGGCTAAAATGGTATACACTAAAGAGTTTTTTTATATACTAAGCAGCTTAATATTGGACTAAAAATTTTTTTGTGAAACGAGATTAGGGCTATTCAATAATTTCCTTAATTGCTGTTGACCGTCCACTGGTCAAAGGCATGATTATCGACCGCCCTAAAACCTAACTCTCGCTTTGTCTCCGCCGCACCAACAGAATATCCGCAGTAGTCAGAAGTCCATTAAAATGTTACCAAGTATGGCACGTACAAATCGAACGCTGTCATTTAACGTGGTGTTAAAGATCGATACCGGCGGAAGATGCATATTTTCCTGAAATTAATCCCACTTAAAACGCCGTTCACTTCGCAGCTTGACATCGATACGTTTTAGACTGATACAATAGTCCCAATTAGTTTCTGAACATTGGTTTCCTGTTGTTTCGACGAACCTGGCAACCGCGATTAATGGTAGTTCATGGAATACTGTATACCGCCATGCACCAAGTATTGAACTAGCGACAGTCAGACACGTTCACATCAGGACCAGATTGATCCTGAAATAGGCTAATTGACATCACCAGCAGAAAAAAATTAAATTACCATAACATAAGTCTAAGACATTTTTGGTGAAATAGAGTTGTCCACATAATTTGATTGTTTGACGACGCTTTTATATTTTCCATGGGTAAGGTTACTCCTGATGTGAACTGGACATTTGCCGCGTTATTTGACAGTCAAACTCCACTGACAAACAAAGTATGCATAATTCAGTGGCGTACATCAACGCCTTGTCATATACAAATTCGACTTCAATTCTAGGTTGGCAGTATTCTTCAACGTGAATCAATAATTTGAGAAACAATACAGGTGTCTAGTCGTTCCCGTTAACATGGCTTTATTTGAAGATTGGTATCTGGGGACAATTCATGGGATTTATCTTGTTATCAATCTCACTTTTTATTCAAAAAACCTTTACTAATACAGCGTAATGAAATCAATAGGATGCTAATTTTGTTATACACGCATTGTAACCACAAGTGGAATTAAGAGCAATAAATTTAATGTTTATTTTGCATCCGTAATTGCTTGATATCTATTGTATTGCCAGTAGCACTCTTCGTGTGTGTGGCTTCATGTTTCTATTTCTATGCTTTTTCTTTTACAGTGAAGTATTTAAATTGTGTAAGTGAAACATGCGTTAGTCATGTTACATGCCCATAACAAACAGTGCTGTATTTTGGTATGCAAATATATTGACCACGCCCCCTTTCAGATTAGCATCACAATGGTCCCATCTCCTGTCTCTTTATCACATTATGAAAAATGATAAAAATAAAAATTGATATAACTTTTTAAATCTTATTTCAGAAATATACGACAAACGTTTTTGTTATCATATTAGATGTCCGTTAATATTTTTGATTCAAAAATTGCAATTTAATTCTGTTACATTAAAAAAAAAATAAATACTTTCAGGTGGCTACGTCGGCTGCTACGAGGGTAGGACGGGCGGTGTCTCTGCCGGACGCTACAATACTTCGACCTTAGATCCTACCACGTGTCAAACCACGTGTGGCACTCAGCAGTTCTCCTACGCCCGTCTGTACAACGGGCGGTACTGTTTCTGCTCCAACGCCTTGCCCAGCGTCTTAGTGAATGACAGCCATTGCGATGACCCCTGCACCGGAGATGCCCTTGAGAAGTGTGGCGGGGACAGGCACGTCAGCGTCTACCACGTTGGTGCCGAGATCCAGGGTTTACGCGTCACTGCCGGGGTGTTTACCGCGGGTGTGGAAGGGGCCATAGAGGTCGCCGTCACCAAGGGCAGTAACGTGGTGTATGAGGTGGATTACGGGGACGGCACGGGGAGGACGGAGGCTAACGCTACCGATTTTGACAGGAAGACTTACGTCATGCCGGGACGTTACGCCGTTACCGTGTACGCCAGAAACGCCGATGGAACCTATGAGGTAAACATCAGCATTTTCAGTGTAAATCTACGTTTTAAACTTTATCCAGCCACACTAATTGATTGTCTTGATTTGTTTGGCTGGGTGTTATTCTATTGATAATCTAGAAAAGCGCTCAGAGAATGCAGGCATCCGCCAAGACGATTTACTTTTAACCACAGATCGTACGACTCCTTTCCAATTCCTTGGAAGAGATTTCTGTATTGCAAAAAAAGATCATTATATCAAACGACATAAAACCAAACCTTCCACGATAAGGTAAATGCATAGGCACCTCTTGCTATGTTTTTAAGTTGGTGCCAGCCATACGTGTTTTATCCTATGCTGATCAAGTATACCCTCTTCTTCCAGAACAAGTCCACTGCAGTGGCGGTGTCTGTGCACGAGCCTGTGCAGGGGGTACAGCTGGTCTGCCCCCAGCTGATTGGCGTCTTGCAGGAAGTCCGCTGTAACGCCACTGTCAACGCCGGCAGTGACATGAAGGTGACAGTGAAATATGGGGACATGCAGAACGAGACCTTTGCCATTGTTGGTAAGTCCGATACAGGATGTGAATATGTTTAGCCGTTTGTGTTTTTAAGAAATATGAAATAGGAATTTGCGATGGTATTAAGGTTGGACACACACTTGTCGCTTGCAGACAAGAGGAGTGTCACCGATTTGACTGATTTTTTGTCGATGCTGCCTCGATTTCTGCTATTGTGTCCAGTGTACGTGTATGTTTGGTTATACATGCAGCTTTGGCATTTTGATTTATGGCTTACACTTATAAGGCCGAGTTTACTCTTACTTAACAACGCCATGTCGTGGATCCGCCCATTGCAGATTCAATTTTTTGAAAATCTCACTTGATGAAAAGATTAATCTTCAAGTATAAGATATGTCACCACCCTCCCGCCAGAAGATGCAGGATCTCATTTTGTACGAAATGTTTCTTAAAAGAAACCTAAGGGCTCATTCCCAGTGACACTCTCGGTCTACGTAGATCGATCCAACTGTCGTTCCATGTATTTCAGACGCGGGTCACAGTAGTGTGGGACCCTCGATCCCCGAGCACGCATCCACTGTGGACAGCACCAGCTCTAATGACGTCCATCTCATGCCTCAGTCCGAGGTAATGGACCCAGGCACCATCAAAGCGTGGGAGTACTATGCAGACGTTCCCGGAACTGTGGCTTTCTTGGTAAGAGCTCATTTTTTTAGACAGAGAAAGTGGATGAATCAGTGACATGGCAGTTTGGTTGGATGTGCACTTGTCATCTGCATATTTGAGCGATGTCACCCAACCGACTGCTCTCTGCCGATTCTGCCTTGAATGAGATGAGCCATGACCGTCAGTTGGTTGATTTCTGTCGTTTTGCCTAATTGTGTCATTTTTGTGCTACATATGGTTTATCATTTAAATTTGTGCATTCGTCACACCATGGCCCGCCAAATTATGCTATGGGTAAAACAGCCATATTTATCTATCAAACCGGTCTGAACAATGCTTTTGTTTTAGACCCTTCTAGTTTTACTGTCGAACCGGAAGCCATAGACAAAACTACTAAAGTACTAGTACGAGACTTTAAGGAAAGGGGAGATCTAATAATATGCTTCTGTTTTAGATTTTCCGTCCCAAGTGTCCGACCGGAGAACAATACTGTCACGTTGAGAATATATGCAACAGCACGTGCACTTTGTCGCCTAGGCAACACAGCTGCTCCAACGGATTGTTTTCGTCAGTGCGGGGCAGTTGCGTTAACGCCACGGGCGGGGTTAGTACGGAGCCAGATCGATCGTCAGCCAGACCACCCGAGTATACCATAGTTGAGTCTATCAGTCACGTGATCGCAAGTCGTGGATATGGGGTTCTAAGGTAAATGGTCAATACTACTTCACTCAAAAGACCAACCTGCAGGGGACAATATTACAGGCCCGTGGCCAGGGGGGTTGGGGGAGTAAGAATGAGCTGCCCTTTTGTCGGGATAAGGTCTCCTCTGGGTGAAATTTGATCAAGCCCCCCCCCCCTTTTAAATGGTTGGCTCCGTTAATTTGATTGTACGTCTTTTACACCATACCGTTTTTGTATGTAATTGAAAACGTAAACAATATGGCCTCTGTTCTGTCAGATCGGACAGGAAAAATGCTGCACTTGACGTTAAATTATTCGCTGTTGTTGTTGTTGTTTTTTCATATTTAATAAATTGTTTTCATCATTACTTGTAAGATAAGCTGACTTTATAGTTAACCCACAAGTTGACAACTGGTGTTTTATTTGAAGTCCTAGCAATGCAGTGGATGTGACGTATGGTGACGTCATTGGGTACCGCGGGATTGCGGGGCTCTTGGGTACACGTGTGACGTCAAGGGGAGAGGAACCAGACTTGAACTACACCGCCATTACCAATGCAGCCAAGGGGGACGTCCTCACGACCAGCAATTTTGCTGGATTGGTGCAGCACCGTCACCTCCTGCGCGTGGTGACGAGACGCCCTTCAAACGTCCTGATATTCCACAAGTACGCCAGCGAGGGCCAGTACCGGGCGGACTTCGCCGTAAGCAATGACAAGATCAACTCCACTGTGACCGTCTCGTCCCAGATCGAAGTGTGGCCGGCCATCAATCAGACGCTTCTTGATGAGCCACCGGCTTACGCTGAAATATCGAAACCCATTACCTTCACACTGTTGCCTCACACGGGTAGGTCCTAAGATGCAAGTGGAAGCTCCCCCCCCCCCCCCTCCGCAAATTGTTATTTATCTGATTCAATTCATGTGATTACTCTTTGTGATAAAGGTACCGTTTTATGTGTGAATGATTATGCTTCTAACATGTTTCCTGTTCTTTTTATGTTGATAATGATTTTCGTATACCACGATAGTCAATTTTAGTATTGCAGTGAACTATATAAAATACTTGGCAAGTGGAAAGCATGGCAATATAAGGCCTATTCTTTTACTATTAAAAAATACCATATTTGATTTACACATGGTTCGACTCTTCAGGCCGTAACTTGACGTATGAGTGGACGTTCAGTGATGGTACCGCTGTGTCCACCACCATCCCCAGTGTCACCCACACCTACACCAGCATCGGGCCTCACAACATCAGCGTCCGCGTTTTTAACGGCCTCTTCGAAAACAGCACCTCGTCCGCCCTGGTCATCCAAGAACCCTTGCAAGGGGTGGACATCATCACTGACCACGCTCAACTTAACACTCTTCACAACATCACTCTGAACGTGACCGGCGGGACAGAATACTCGTGCGACGTGGACTTTGGAGACGACACCTCGGTAGTGACGGTTCCAGTCTCCCAGCTGGTTGTGATGGTCCAGGTGGGGCACGTGTACACCATAGGCGGGATTCACACGATCATCGTGTCTTGCTACAACATGATCAGCCGGGTTAACGCCACCCATGATATCCCCCTGGGGGTGCCAATCACAGGACTGCGATTCCTCAAGGAGTCCGCCATAGTCGGCGTTCCGTACGAGATCACGTTTGCCATAGACACGGGTTCTAATGTCACTTTCGAACTGTTCTTTGCCGGGACACCTATCACTAGCGTGAGATTCAACCCCAACACTATGACTGGTGATTGGGGTGCAGGGTTGTACACTAGCGCCTCCCCCTCTGTCAATGAGCTCACTTTACGGGCTATCAACACGGTTGGCACGGAGGAGATATCCGTCAATTTCACCACGGAAGAGGCGATCCCGCGGCCTACGCTGTCCGTGGATCACACGATGTTCCAGGTGGGCGGTACGGCCACTTTCAAGCTGATGATTACAGCGGGTACCAGCGTATCTATCGTGTGGGACTACGGAGATGGCAGCAGAGAGACATATTCCATACCGGTCACGTCTGCCTGGGTGCAACAGGTGCCAGGCCTGTCAATCACGCGAAACCACACCTACACCGCAGGAGGCACGCCCACCGCTACGATCATAGTGGCTAATGCATACAGCAACCACACGTTCACACAGCAGATAGACGTCATAACACCAATTTCCAATTTGAGCCTTGCAAGCAACAGTCCCGTTGCTTACATACCACCAGGAACTGCCTCTATCATGGTCCTACAAGGGGGCGGAGCACCCGTTGCCGGGGCAACCATCAAGATTGACTGGGGTGATGGAACGGCTGTGGAATTCAAAGACCTGGATGTCGGTTTCAACTACTATCACGAATACGAAGCCAAAGGCACCTATCGGGTCACCGCCAATGTTTCCAACCCGATTAGCTTCATGTGGCTTGAAACTGGTTTCCTGGTGGCGGAACCGGTCACCGACCTCCGACTGAGCACCGTGCCTCCTCATGTCCCGGTCGGACAGCCGTGTGTGCTGGTCTTGACCATGTATCAGGGGGAGAACGTCACGTTCTACGTGGACTTTGGTGATAGTTCCGGCCTTGTAACCAAAACAAGAGAAGGTAGGTTTGATAACCTTCAAGTTACCAGTGAAGTCGTGGTGAGAAATACGTCGGGTTTTTATAATTCTTACAGTTAATTGCACGATTAAAGGCATGTATTTAAGATATCGCCTGGGTATTCAAACATTTTGTATATTTCGGTAGCTGAAATAATAAAAAGGTAGGTCTGTTATCCATTTGTAAATCATTTTGTTATCCTAAAATTGTTTTCGAATATTACCACCTTTTATATCCGTTTATTTAGGCACTACCCCGTTGGACGAGGACACAGTCACTCACACGTACTCTACCACAGGGAACTATACAATCACCGTGATAGCCAGCAATATGATGGGGAACACTACCAAAACGTACGTGATAGCGGTCCAGAACCCTGTGCAAAACGTCACCTTTGACGTCAGTTCCGATGCACCAAGGCTAGGCATTGGTAAGTTACAATGTGGTATTGCAAAATAAAAAGTAACAGTTGCAAAAATAATTTTTTGATTTCTTTTGTGATAAATAATTTTGTAATTAATTTGTGAAACGTCTGTCGTCTATTGCGAAGTTACTATGCCGGTGTGAAAGGGAAGGTAGCCCTTGGAATGGAAATACGCGGCCCCATATTATAAGTACAGGGTGGGGTTAGCCAAAGTATTGGGGTGAGTGTATGGGACGAATGTCACCTGTACACAGGAATTGGGGACGGACTACAGTTCTTAGTGGACTACCATTCCAGTTACTACCCTTAAGCGATATCTATAAGATCGGCACAGAAGGCCAAATTTACTTGTATTCTTATTGAAGCATTGATACGGCACCTCAACATATGCAGTACTGTGAAAAGAAGTGTTTCGTACAAAACCCGTTTCTGAAAATTATAAAACGCTTCAAAGTATCATACTTGGCAAACACTGATAAATAGCATCATATTGTATTTTAGGTGCAGTACAAATAACCATAGATTTCACTACGAGTCCACCAAGCCATGACATTCCCAGTGAGGCGACTATTTCTGTGGAATGGGAAGCCGGGCAAATTGACAGCCTCCCCTTTGACTGTGCGGCTAACTGCCAAAGGGTACTGTCACACACCTTTAGCGTACCTGGCGTCCACACCAGTAATGTCACCATCTATAATCTCGCCTCCACGGTCACCTACACTGTTGATGTAAGTTTCTTTGGGATCCTAGCAGTTTCATAATAAAAGACTGAGTACGGTTTGTTCAATATGAGTATGGTTTGTTCAATTCAGCCCATACCTTTGGCTTTGTCTATTGCTGATTACTAGATAATAATACTTTGGGAGTTGGAAAAACGATAGATACAAAGCGGATCAATACTTAGGAACACACTCTTTCAAAACGAAATTCCCAGTTGTAGATAGACACAGTACAAAACATTCTAGATATTTATCATTGATTGACTGTACACATTTCAATTTTAATTGTTTAAACAACTCACGCACCCTTTATTTTATTTTACTACAAAAACAACGTATATTTGTTCTCTTTCAGACAAGCGTGTATGAAACCATCACGTCTATAGGGGCAACGGCAATGTACCAACCTCTGATCCCGATAGGTGGCCCTGATATCGTTGGAATCGGACCAAATCGGGTCGCATTTCCTTTGAACCGACCAGTCAAATTCCACGTCAATACATCAGGTAATACTTTTCATTAAAGGGCAAAACAGACCCAGAACAGGCCTCGTGTGGTTGGTAAAAGGACAGTGTAAATTACAAGCGAAGAGGTTTGAAATTAATCATTTAGTAGCGTTTTTTGGTAGCGGTGCACCAAATTTTCTTCTCTCTCTCTCTCTCTCTCTCTCTCTCTCTCTCTCTCTCCCCACCCACTTCATGTTGTCTAGTGTAATTCTCTCCACAGGTACTGTAAAAGATTATGAACTCACGGCCCATGATGAGAATCTCAACGTTGTCTTGCACTGTATTCATACGTCCTGGCCGCTGACGACACTGTTTGATACGGTAAGACAGCTCACGACACAGATTTATGTCATACAATTAACTTTCATTTATGTCAATCAACAGTGCTAACATTTTATTTACAGAAGTCATAGCTGTGCCATAGGATGTTCGTTTGGTATTGATTTAAGGGTTAAAACGACAAATAAAGAAAGCCATTTACTTAGTCTTGAACAAACGGCAAACGTAGGTGATAGTTGGTATGGAATGCCTTACTTTGTCGTGTGCTTATATGTTTAAATTTTTTGATCGAGGGATGTTTTTATTTTATTTTATTATTTTTTATTTTGTATTTTTTTTAAATCTGAGCTATCATTAACTATTTTTGTAGGCCAATAACTATACGGTGAATATAACGGCACGAAATCCGTTTTCTTCTGAGAGCGTCGTTCTGAACATCTATTTGGGGGAGCCAGTGGATATCCTCGAGATCAAAGAGAACGGCACAACGGTCACAGGCCCCGGGGAAAACAAGACATTTTTGGTCGTCTTCAACTCTACTGGTTCCGACTCCTGTGTGTACGTAGCTTTCGACAACGTCCCGTATGGCGTGTACGGATGGCGCGACGCCTGCTACAAGAACTATGCGTCGTCCGTGCCATATCTGGGTGTCATTCCCGTAGGTGTCCTCTCTATCACTACTGTGTTTCCTGACATAGGGGACCACCAGATGAGCGTCCGAGGTTTCAATCCTTTCACTGACACCACCGTCAACTTGAGTTTTCCTATCTCCAATGTACAGTGCCAGAAGCCCCAAGTCTCCATAGACCAACAGAAGGAGTTGTTCTATGACCCGCGAGTCGTGCACATGAAGGACAGCTTTCAACTAACCGGGATCACGGTGATTAAATGTCAAGTTACTCTACTTAACGACAAACAATGGACGCTTGAAGAGGTGGACGGCACAACCGGTGACACCATCAGAACCATTGACATATCCTCGATTCCATCGGCCATGAGTGAGGAGATCGTCCTTCCGAAGAGATATCTTCCCTATGGGGTCTACAAGTTTACCTTCACGGTTCAGATGCGGCGGGACCAGTTCCCAGAGGGAGACATATTTGAGAGATCTACTGCGACGCACGTGCGCGTGTCCGAGTCCCCTCTTGTGGTGGTTGTATTGGACGGGGGTCTTACTAAAGTAAAGCGTGGACACGGTAGGAATATAACGTTATCTCCGGGAGTGTACTCAAAGGACCCGGATTTAGACCCGACCGCTGACCAGGTGCGTATGCCATGTTACAGCCTGTTCTTTTGAAGATGCATTCACAATGCAGTTGTGATGGCTTAACTTGGTGGCGCCTTGAATTCAAACCATAAGAAGCCAATCGAGTCCTAGATCCATCTTACATGTACATATTTGGCACTTTAAAGTAAAGGTTGAGTCAGAATGTATACAAAGAGCTATGTCAAAATATACGAATATGTTGAATACCAGTTTTGCCTAAATTTGAGTAAGAGTTTAAAAAAAATAATAAAAATAAAAAAGCAATCGTGCTTTAAACGGGTTTTTAAAACACCCTGTTTAAAGGAAATATTGACGCAAACCATTTGAAGGCACGTGTCAGTAGTGAATTACAATTACATGATGTCGGGTTCTCATTGCAGGGACTGACCCAGTTCGAATATTTCTGCAGGCAGGTAGGGGAGGAGTTCGTACTAACCTCGCCCACAGGCGTGATTCCCTGGGACATATCCCGAGCCAACCCTAGCTCCCCCTTCACCTCGCCCCCTGCTCCGAACCAGGGCGGCTGTTTTGGTAACGGACCCGGTGCACTGAACATCACTTCTGGCGAGCTCAGCTTCAGCACGGGTACCATGCTAGAAAACATCACCTACGAGTTCATCGTCATCGTGGCGAAAGGTGACAGGAAGGGGTACGCCTCTCTGCTGGTTGAACTTGTAAGCGGTGATCCACCAGAGTTAACCATGAGGTACGATAGCAAGAAAACCATGCAGTAGGCCTACCGCAAAAATTAATGTAACACTTGCTTTGCAGATCGGTGGCAATTGTCTTTTTTATTTTAGAGAACAAAAAAGAAAAAAAAACGAGACACGGGAGTCAAACATACACATTTGTTCAGCTTACCTGAGCACAAAATTTACTGTCACATGGCTTTGTCCAGCGGCATTTGGTCTGGATTATAGAGCTAATGCGGACAGCATCTTCATCTTCATCTTCGTCTCAAGGTTAACATACATATCGATAAGCTTCAACGTTTTAGAGGTCTGAAAATAAAGAAAGTATTGAACCTGAACCTAAGAGTCACTGGTTGTGGCGTACATTAGTAACTTTTTTTTACTTTTTTGTGTGTTCAGTCCCAGTTGCCGTATTTCACGGTCTCCTAAACATTTTGAGGCAAAACAGTCAAATATAACTCATTTCGAAAGTTTACAGACAATTTTTATAAAACTCCACCATAGTCCAATACTGCAAGTGACATAATTTTGTTTTAGATGTGGTTTCGGCGTTTTCTGTGTTCCAACCGAAGGCGGCCAAAAGATCCGGCGATCGTCCAGGATAGCGCTGATCAGTGACTGCCTAGCGGGCTGTGACGCAACAGATATGAACTACACGTGGTCCTTACAGGTGCAAAGTCAAGAGGGGGTCTACGTCACGTGGCACGAGATACGGCACATCGACAAATATATCGACGGTAAGTAAAAATATTGTTTTAACGTATTCCCCAGAAATGTGTTGTTTTTTTAATATCAGAAAAATTGGTTGATACCGAACTTTTTTTAGTTGATATAGATTGCGGAATTATTTTGAATGACCATATTATTCAATCTTGATTTAACCTCCCCTTAACGAAAACCTTTAAACTAAAACATGTTGTGTGTAGCATGGTTGTAATAGCAGTATTAAATACATAGCTATTTATAAAGATGTAGAATGCACTTATGGTTTGCTCATGCACGGGACTGAATTGAACCGGGAGTAGACCAAATTGCGTCATTTGGCGTCACGAGACGCTCAGAGTATTACATTTCATATACCTCAATCTGGCTACACCAAGACCACATATATAACGAGTATAAATAGGTATTTGAAACACTTGGATTGATTTCCGGACAAAGTTATTCCTTTAAGCGAACATATCTGACGGTTTAAGAGCAAACATGTAGTGTAATTTATCCCGAGGAAAAAAAAGGATGAGGCAAAATTGATACCAAATTTTTGACTTTCTTTTTGAAACTGGACCCAGCATCATGAATATATATGTTTAACCGTATTATGTACAAAAAACTGAATCAGCAGGAACTATACGTTTGCAATTTAGGGGTATGGCAACCTGTGTTTTATAGATACGAACAGTACACCACGTGTCGCATGACAGTGTTATATAACTCACGTAAATCAATCAGAACATACGCAAAACGCATGCGTTTTTACTTGGTATTTTTATTACGTACTACTGGAACATTTAGACCGCATTCACAACGAGTTGAGCCAGGCTTTACAAATCCTGGGGACTAAATATGGTGGACATACATGAAAGAAAAACCGCCTAATCTTTTAATAGTCTCTCCGCCTCTCACACGCCTCTCCATGCGTCGTTGCGGGGGTACAGTCATTAAATTTCGGCTCCATTGGGACGACACATGGGGAGGCGTGTGAGAGGCGGAGTGACTATTAAAAGATTAGGCGGTTTTTCTTTCATGTACGTCCACTATATTAAGTCCCCAGGATTTGTAAAGCCTGGCTCAACTCGTTGTAAATGCGATCTTAGACGAGATCGATTTCATCCCGGTGATAAGCTTAGTCGGCGATTACAGGCTGGCTGACTGTGTAGAACTTTACTTTGAAGAACAAAGCAATATCCTGGGCATAAGGGCTAAATATTGTAATGTGAGAATATGGATAAAGAATTCTTTGGTACCAAAACACTTTTTTTTTGTCTGTTGTTTTGACATTCAGTTGTCAGATCTGCCGACAAGATAAGTGCATAGATATTTTGTTTTTCGTTTCGTTGCAAATTATATAACCTTTAACAGCAAAGACAACCTTTTAGTAAATAATGCACAAATGCCCTGTGGAATTGGCCACCCAGGTTACACTGTTGCTTTGTTTTTGTATTATGACAAACAACGTAACATTGGGTTGCAGTGAAACATTAATATGCGTTCGTTTTATTTTATATGCAGGTCGCTCTGTGATCTGTGTTAATATGTACATTTTTAGTTCTTGATGTATCCCAAATATTTAAAACCATAATCTGAATGATACCTTGATGATCAGAGCATTATATTGTAATTTACGCCTGCATACTGCGAAGCTGCTAATATTTATTACGACAAAGACTTTAACTTTCGGTAAATCTACCCTCTATGAAAAGTACCGAATTCATACAAGTAGCCGCTAAAACAACACCAGAGCCTACAATATTGTTGCGCAACCAGAAAGATATTTGATGAAATACCTTGCTTCTCTTATTGCATTAGATATTCCAAACCATTTTTCGTAATTGTAGAGCTACCTTCCTGTCATTACTGCATTGCTTTGCTGGCAATGGTTTTTACAGTATCGCAGCCCATGCTTGCTTCTTTGAAGTTGTTAATTCTGATATTGTGCTCTGATTATCAAACAGGTGCTCTGTATTATGTTCACGTTAATATGATATGCATGTCGTCTCTTTCATACCCAATATTGCATGTAACACCTTCGTTTCGGGCATGACTTGCTCTAACCTGCAGGACTCAGAGGTGAGTATATTTCTACGTACCAGTACTTCAACATTTTCAAACATTTTACGTTGGTTATATCAGTGTATGAAATAACCATTTATTATATCAAGTATCTTTACTTATGTAAAGGTCCGAGTTTCGATGACTTTATTACTTGTGCTTACAGTTGTATGTTTAAATATTTTTCATAGTTTTAGGATAATTTTCAGGCACGTGGGCCCACTAGCTGTAGGTTTTTTTCAGCAAAGCTGAAAGCACTCGTGTAAATAGCCCTCCGGCTCCAGTTTCACAAAAATACTTACGTCAGTTCCCTGGCTTAGTTGACTAGGATTTCCATCAGGGTGCTGCTACACTGCTCCTGATAGGGTAAGGTGTGCCCATGTGACCATGTAACCTTGGTAATTAAGTTCTTAGCCAGGGAACCTGACTAAAGTTTTTTTTTGTCAAACTGGAACCTGATATTTTGCATTTCAAGTTGATTTTGACCATAAAACAATTGCTGTGGTGAAATATGAAATCTGTTGCTATGTGCACAGATTATTCGCTCCAAAATAGATCTCTCCCACAAAATTACTGTTTCAGTACTGAGTAAAATGATAAAAGCAACTACCCCGTCGTTGAAAATGCAGAGATTATAACTTTATTTTTAATTTTCGTCTGAACAAGTGTTGGACAAATACTGATTAATTTGTACCATAAAAAAGTGCGTGCGCGTGTCTGTGTGTGAGTGTGAGTATGTCAGTCTGTGTGTGTGTGTGTATACATCGAAAACTTTCATTTGCTTCTCTGTCATTTTATTATTTTTTATTTATCTATCTGAAGTTTAAAACGTCAATTGATTTTTAATGATGTGCATTTACATCGTTAATTTACAAGCGGCCATACTGTATACTTGTCTATATTCAATTTTTTAACCGTTTTCTTTTTATGTTAATCAGATTGCTTATTTTATGTTTCATTATTATGTAGGGGATGCCTCTTATTCGATTGGCATTAAAAGGAACATATATGAAGCGAAGCCCAACATCAGACAGGTCAAGGTGACATTGGTGGCCAGACGTTTGACGTCTGCGCAGTCGGGCAGTGCGCAGCTGATACTGCTGGTCAACGACCCGCCCGACGGAGGCAACTGCTCCGTGAGTCCCACCGTCGCCGAAGTGTCCACGGCTAAAAACTGGAGGATCGAGTGCCAAGGCTGGACAGATGAGGATTTCATAGAGTCTTATAAGTTCTTTGGTAATGGGAACTCTGTACACTGTGCCTCGATCCTGGCAATTGATGTTGTTTTGTGTAGGCCTACTGTAAATAATCATGTTTTGGACAGTTGCGGTTCATTCTGTTAGTGAATTGATCATATTTGGAAGTCTCGAAGATGGGCTATTTTAAATCTAAATTTTAAGTAAGTCGCATAAGGGTTGGGTATTAAAAGAGCACTTATTTAAGAACGTTTACCTGACCGAAGCACATTTCTTAAAAACGATGACAATAATAATAATAATAATAATAATAATAATAATAATAATAAAAGTCCTGTCAGTGGCTTATAGACATTATATTAATCTTAAAGGACCCCTGCTTCCAAGACTGTTATCTTTGCTTTCGATTTCAGCCCTGTTCAATGGGTCAAGCGTTCCGAAGAATCTTGGCTTTAATTCACGCGGAATTCTCGATACATCCATGCCAAAGGGACCCTCTTACGACAACTACTGGATGACTATATATACCAATATCACAGATTCGGATGGCAGTACAACGACGTACAAGGTTGGGCGCATACAGGTATGGCGTGTTCACATACTGTGTCATTAAAAAAACTTTTTATCTTTAAATACTGTCACTAGACAAACGGATTGATTGACTGGTAGGCCTAATTGCGTTGAGCATGACTGTCTGCTGAAAAAGTGAAAAAGAAAAAAGAAATGAGCAAAGGTGGTGGGTAATCTGTTGACATAAATGGGCCAATTTCCTCTTCAGGTGAACCCAATGTCGACAACAGAGGTACAGTCACTAGTTTCGAACCTCACCGCTAGTGGCAGCACTAATATGATAGCCCAGATTGCAGCCAACGGGAACCTTGAAGACACAACGCAGACTATCCAATCCTTGGCGTCCGCGCTTAACACCTTGGGCAGTTCTGAAGGTAGAATACTTTATAATGTTGTGTTCAAAGACAGTATTGACCCTTTGTTAAAAATTGATTCAGTTGTCAAATTGAAACATTTAGGCCCACTTTGAAAAGGAACTTACTCTGAATAAACCTGACTAAATATCTGAATGCAAAACACCAAAAACAAAGCTGTGCGTAGGCCTATTTTTGTTTTCTGGTTTCCCATTTAAACCCAAAATTGACTTTATCTTTATCCTAGCATTTAATATTCAAATCCTTATTTGAATCTTAAGTCTTCAACGTTATCCGAGCGATATGTTTAAATGTATCTGATCCATAATGAGATTATGAAAACTATTAAACGCTTTGCTTTTTACTGCATCCTGATTTAAATGGTGGTTTGGACACATACTGTACCTGAAATACCACTATCCTTCATCACTTATTAAATATGTCTAAAATAATATGATATATTGGAAGAGGGTAGTTGAATAGGCGTTTGTTGTGTTTAATTCAATTATTCTTATATTGCCAGGGTTTAATTCCGGATTTGGACCAAGTGAAGCAGCCTCGGTAAGAATTTGAAATAAAAAAGTCATATCGCTCATAACTCATCAGTTTTATTCGTTATTCAGAAGTTAATCGTTAATTTTTTATTCGTAGTCCGCAATAAGCATTTCCAAATGAAATATTAATTCAGTAAAATATCCGAAAGAAGTTTTCATCACACAAGATACACAAACCTTGAAATCGAATGTTTCAGACCCAGAATACGTCATCAGCAGAAAAGGAAGCACTCCGTGAAGAAGTCGCATTGGTGAGATTGCACGCACACGCACACGCACACACACGCACGCACACGCACACATGCACGCACACATTGCCATCTTGTTAGTAAAATGTATTTGATCAAGTAATTTAACAATTGGGACATGAAATGAAATGAAACACAATTCTGTTTTTAAAAACTGACTGAGACGTATTTCGACGTATTACGTCTGTGTACAATATAAACATTCAATTCATCAGTTTATAAGACCCAAAATTGTTGTTATGACAATACATGAAAACCACACTTAAACATACCTGGTTTAATAAGGGTAACCAACGCCCAGCAAATAATTTGAATTTTTGGTAACATTATATATGTATCTTCCCTTCGTTTAATAGCGTCATTTTAGCTAGCATTTATGACAAGACAAAGGATTAGAGCTAAGATGTCGGCAATCCCAAATTAATGCCATTGCACCCTTTCAGATAAGAACTCAGATGATCGAAGCAGTGGCCGACAGCGCACCCACCACCCCAAGGCAGGTGCAGCTTCTGGCTAGCTGCCTCACGGAAGTACTGCAGCAACCATCTGAGATAAAACGGGGCAGCCAAGTAAGTAATCTATATATCAGACATTATACCAGCCTTGTGGAATATGTGTATTGATATAACAAAACGAAATAAATACATGGTGCATTAAACACATATTAAATACACACACACACACACACACATATTTTACAAACGTTATGATCATGTTCACCATAGTCGTCATAAAATGAAATTCCCTTACTGTGTTTAAAAATTCATAGTAACAAAACAGCCCAAGAGTTTGAACTCAGAGGAATACTACACACACTGGACAATAGAAGTGTCGCCCCTACTGAACCAATACTTTGGGGGAGATAAATGACCGTGGAATGATATGCTCCTGGTATTATTTTATTAACATCAAATTTCACAAAAGAAACGGTTCTGACTGAAGAATTCAACTGTATCGATATTCTGACATTGCTTATATTCCGCCTCTTCAGGTTAATAACTTTGATTACTCTGATTCAGGGGTTTACACTTCTATTGTCCAGTGTGTGTAATTCGATATCTCAGATTCTCATGTATTTTAGGTCAGAGGCCTATAACTTCCACGAATAAACACATCATCATTATCATTATCATCATTAAAAGCGTTAAGATAGTAGTAATATGTATATTAAGTTCATTTCTTCATGTACATATTTGCGCCAGTTGCAATGTGGAGACATTTTCTGGAAGTTGCCATGTTCATTTCAGTCAAAGGTTACTGTCATTGTGAGCGGATTTATCGACGTGCTTCAGGCACAAGCTGCTGACCAAACTAAGGAAGAAACTGTAGAACTGGCTACCACCATTTTGAGTAGTGTAGGGGCAACAATCGCGGTAAGTGGAATGCTTTTTATGTTTTGTCTTTATCTTTTGCTGTTACCCGCGGTAGTAAATACAACTCTGTTATTACCTTTCATATTATCTATTAACTAATTCAGGGGCGGATCCAGAGATATTTTCTGACAGTCTTCCAAATTATCTTTGTTGATCCATGTTCCATTTTTGACCGTCTTCCGACAGAAAACATTAGATGGCTGACAATGTAAACTTGAAAATCTGACCGTCTTCCAGAAGACCCAGAAGACGGCCTAAATCCGCCCCTGTAATTACCAGTTGGTTCCCGTGCCGTTTTCTTTCTATTTCTATCTCTACCTCATTCAATCTCTAGCGGCCTTCTCCCGTTTACATTACACGCACCTTTATGAGTATAATAAGAGCATGTCAATCAACTCAGTAACTCTACTAAACACTCCCCGGTCCTTAGTCACTCATGACTGTCAATTACTACAGGTCCGTAGCCAGCAAATTCAAAAGGAGGGTTCTTTTTCTGAAAAAGTGGACCTTTTCCCATAAAACTATATGTACCTAGATCAAATTTTACCCAGAGTGGACCTTTTCCCAGCAAAAGGGGTGGTTCTTTTGAACCCCCCGAACCCCCCCCCCCCCCCCTGGCTACGGGCCTGTACTATCATCACATTATAATGCATGTTACGTAGATGTATGTAGTGGATAGTAGGATATTTCTTCTATAAGTCAAAGGGGCATGGTACATGTTGTACACCTTCACAGTGTATTTGTACTTGAAAAGGAACGGTGTCTAGTTGCTGTTTAATCAGCGGAAATAATATCAGTTTTAATTCTTATTTGATTTCTAATGAAGATTGATTTGAGTTTTATTTCATTAATCTGTAATAGTACTAGATGCGTTAATTCAGTAGAACAGTGAAATAGGATCTCTCTATCCCAGGAATTAATTAATTAAACAATTTATCATATTATTATAGGCAACGACGTACGCCTTAAAGAACCCGTTACCATCGGACGTGCAGGAGTCGATGAATGATATGTACTACGATGCGGACTTAGAAAATACTGAACAAAAAAGTAAATTGCATTAAGATGCTGGGGGTGGGGGGGGGGGCATTTTTAATTCTATTTTATTTGTAAAATAGTTACCAAAATATCGAGATTTCCTAGCTCATAGGTATTATGTTTGGATGAATAAAATCCAAAGATTGTTCGAGAAAATGTGTGGAAAAGGGTGAAGTGGTCATTTTTGCAAGTAAGCAAACGTATTCCGTATTAAAAGAAGTTTTTCTCCACCAGTAAAATGTTTTTGTGCTTTTTTTAATAACGAGTAGAGGTTACTGAAACAGATGGTTTTCCGTTCCGAGTTATTGCAATATTTGGGATCATCCTCTTTTCAGATGTGGCAGGGCTTTCAAAAGAAGAAGCGAGAAACCAGTTTGGTCGATACACTAGTGATGAAAGCCAGAAAGAAGTGGTGAGTTATTACACGATTTAACTTAAAAAATACGTTTTGATTGATTTTTGATGAAAATCCCAGAACAATTGGGTTGGTTCGGTGATATGTATGAAGGTCACTGGTTTAAGAAAGTCATTCTTTAACCGACTCTTTTTAAGTGATTCGTGACGTGGCTGTTTTGTAATTCCCGCATAGGTAGGCTACTTTACGTGTGTGAGCTAGCGCTCACTCTTGTACTTGTATTTATGTTTTTATTTTCCCAGAAATATTTTTAAAAAGATAGGCCCGTAGAATTTGCATATTTCAAAATGGCACATGTAAATGTATAAAGCTCCATATTTGTAATTAAGTGGCAATGTAGGACAGTGTCAGTTAGTCTGGTGACACTTTACACTGGTTTCCTTATTCCTTTCTACTACTCTGTCAGTGAGTTTGGAAAACTCCCGCATGGGCAGGCTACTCTGCGTGTGTGTGCTCAAGTTCACTCGTGCTTGCAATTGTGTGCTTACTTTGTCATACATATGAATTTCTGACATAGATAGACCCATGTAATGGACCCAGAATCTGCATATCCGAAAATGACTTATGCAGGCCTATATGTATAAACCTCCATAAATGTAATTGGAAATGTACCCAAGTATAGCGTTTTTTTTTTTATATAATGGTGCCATATTCCCTTCTTCTAGTCTGGCGGTGCTGTCTCCACCCTTATGTCAGGGATAGGCAACGTTTCTGACGTCCTACTGTCCAAGACCATCCCCGGGGAGCCCTCCCTGGGGGTGGAGACCCCTCAGTTAAAGATGGAACTGGTGAAGGACGACCCCAATAAGATCGACAAGCTGAAACTTCAGTCGGCCAAGCTGCCCTCCTGGAACAGCATCCGGCCTGCATCCGGGCCGGGATCCGGGGATAGCTTGGTCTCGGTGCAGGTGAGGGCAGTGCTGATGTATGATGATACTAGTGAAAGGCAATTGTGTTCCCTTTCAGAATTATGGCTTGAACGATGACCTCTTAAACGCTTTTGATAAATTACAAAAAGAGTTATGATAAAAGATATAAATAAAGAAAGAAAGAAAGAAAGAAATATGTACTATTTGTTTTTTTTTCGCATAAACCTTTTAAGTAATTGTTTTTAGTTTTTCTTTATTTTTTGAAAAATATATTGGAATAACTATTGTGAGGTGAATGCATATGTAAACGTCTTTCTTTCAGTTGGTTCAATTTGCATCGAACCCCTTCGGTTCACTTAAGAACTCCGACAAAGTCGCGAACGGCTCCGAAACCGTATCCCTTGACCTCAAAGACGACAATGGGGCCACCATGGCCATCTCGAACACCCAACAACCCATCGAGATCTTCATAAACCGCGACACCAGCGGTCAGCTCCCCGCTCCGGACTATATATACCACAGCCCCATGGACCCCGCGGACGGGCTGTCGTACAGGTCCGCGAATATCACCGACTCCGATGTGGCCATACACTTTGAGATCGTGCCAGAGAGCAACGTGACCTTCCTGGTGCTGGTGAGACACGGAAGTCCGCCTCAGCTGCAGGACGGGGAGTTTGATTTTTGGCAACTGGTACCGTCCGTCAGACTGGCTGCTGATGGTAAGTGGAGAGGGTAGAAGAGACAAAAAAGGTGTACCGGGAAAGGGGGGGGAGTGGGTGGTGGCTATGAGAAGGCGTTAAAATATCAAGAAATGCTGTCCAGTGCATCGTGACAGAGAGTCCCCCCCATGATGGAATCCGCTTCCCATTCATTTTTGCAGGTACAAGTGTGCTGTTTTATAATAAGATTACATGTAGGCTGTTATTCTCGGCTTCATTGAATTCATTGGGACTTAAATTCAAGCAAATTGCAAAAAAAAAAAAAAAAAAAAAAAACGAGGCGATAATTTTTTCACGGATGGGTAAAATTATCCCTTCTATTTGTCGTGTTTTCGCGATTGGAGGATAGATACAGTGTAGCATACATGATTGCTCCAGTCTCGAAAGAATAAAGTTTGGATAAATTGAAAATTATATTGCAAAAATGCATACTGGCAAAGCTGGTTTATATACTGTTAACAGGTCAAATTGGTTGTAAAAATTTTCAATCCCTGCAATGTACTGACACATAAATGTCATTAATTAATTTTAATTGATTTCCATTAATCATTAATGAAAACAATTTATCAATTTAATTTTTTCTTTCACCGAAGGTACTCCTCTGAACAGCTACGAAGTCTTCATAGAGAGCGACCAAGTCGGCAACAAGACTGGCAAGTACTACGTGGGCATACGACAGCTGGCGGACAATGAGACCGAACTGTATGGCCTACAGTGGACAAACTTCACCGGGAACTTCACCGAGGCTTTCACCGGTGCCAATAACATCACCACCAACTACACCATGAGAACGTACACATCAGGGTGCTACTTTGCCACGGTCGGCATGACGGCAGTCAGTACGGAGGGCTGCATTGTGAGTAGAGCACCCTGTGGATCGAACGTTGTTAAAACGAAAGAATGAATGAATGCGCTTGGACAGTTACACCCTACGTTTTTTATCCCTGACAGGTCCTCCTGCCTATATATAAAAGGGTACACCGTAATGAAACGGTATCGACAAGGATATATACGTAGAGGAAAGTAATCGTGTCTATTTCAAGAACTTACGTTTTAGGCCGCATTCAGAACAGTGAACTAACTAGTCCGTGGGTTAAATATGGCGACCCACTAAAAAACTTGCCGCCTAATCTGCTAAGAGACACTGAATAGATTCCCCGTGGGGAAGTATTCAGGTGGGTCGGCCATATTTGATCCGCAGATAGGTTAGTCCGCTGTTCTGAATGCGCTCTATGGCTGAGACATTTTTTCAGGTTGGCAACAAGACGACTCACTACTCTACTCAATGTTATTGTACCCATCTGACGTCATTCATGGGCGGCTGGGTGGTCCAACCCAACACAATCGACTGGAACTTTGTCTTCTCTGGCGCAGCGGCTTTCGACAGGAATCCCACCCTGTATATAACCGAGATGTTGATAGCCGTGTTGTATATCATGACAGCTATATGGGCTAGACGGCAGGATAAGAAAGACGTGGAGAAGGTAGGCTTTGTTTTCTTTCAAACATGCTCTAAAGATGTGCGGGTGTATATGTGTGTTACATAATTTTTCCGATTGTAAACTTGGTTAGTCTCGCAGTGATGTTTGCTTTTCAAGCATAAAGCTAATTTATAGCCTATCCACATAGTGAGAGATAGTATTTTGCTCAATTATAATTTTATTTCATTTTTCATTTTTTCAAAAATGATTGTACATTGGGATAAAAAATTGTTTGCCGATGGGGGTCATCCCACTCCGATTTCCGCACTCCACTAGAATGGTTTATAACACATATTCCTCTTTGGCATCGTAACATAAGTTAACATAAGATAAACCTTTGAGACATTTTAACCCTCGCATTATCTTATTAGTAGTATAATTGTCTTACAGTTGGGCGTGTCTCCTTTGCCGGACAATGACCCCAATGACCACTACCTCTACGAAATGATCGTATTTACTGGGATGAGAAGAAATGCGGGCACCGAATCAAAAGTAAAGAATAATTTTCATATATTTTAGGCTTGTTTAATGCGTTTTTGTTTTTATATATTTTTGACTGTTAATGATGAGAAGACTAAGTAAAAGAATAAACATATGTTGGTATAATCATATATCAACTTAGGGAAGTAAATTAAACCAAATATACAATAAATAAATAAATAAATAAATAAATAAAATAAAACACTTGCAATGCCTTTTTCGCCAGGTAAATTTTATTTTGTCTGGGGAATACGATGAAACGGACGTCAGAACGCTGGCAGACGACAAACGACGCACTTTGATGAGGGGATCGGTCGATCGTTTCTTGTTAGCCGTCCGGGGGTAGGTCATGTCTCAGTTCACTCCACTTCATTTCACTTTCATTTTGAGTATAAGCCATATTAGAAATATTGGTATGTACGTTCCGTCATGTGTGAAAAAGGACACTGAGCGAAGGCATTGATAAACCTTAAATAAAGATATTAACATTTTTCGACTTTGTAGGTAGTCTGAACCAGTTCAAAGCTTGATGTGAAAATTTGTCTGTATCTGCCAATTGAATGACTCTCCTTACTGCTTAGTACTTTGCGCTGTTTGATTTGCATCGGACGTTCACGTTGAAAAGCTTGTAGGCAAACATTTTAATATTAAAATATTAAAATATTAAAATACCATTTAAAATAATTTTACCTGTATCTAGACCTTTGGGCGACCTGAACTACCTTCGCATCTGGCACGACAACTCTGGCAAGGGCCACTTCGCCTCTTGGTACCTTAAATACCTCCTGGTGCAGGACCTGCAAACCAAGGAGAAGTACCACTTCATCTGTAACCGATGGTTTGCCGTGGAGGAAGACGACGGACAGGTACATGGTGGTCAACCTTTTTTGTGTGTGTGGTCTGGCAAAATTGAAATGTTAATCCGTCCGGTCCGAGCATGTTCCAGTTTCTTTCTGATTGCCTAGGTAGGATTTGCTTGACTCGTTCACCTCTGAGGCAATTTGTAGTTTGTAGTACTCAGTGTAACGGGTATGATCCACTGTCTACATGTGACGAGTAATGTTCACCTCCATTGATCGCGCGATAAAATCCCTTTTACACTGGACGGCGTCCTTTCTGCGTCCTTTCTGCGACCATGAAACTTGCATCGCTTTGGTCATAGAAAGGAGGCACAAGAATTGCTTTGGCCGCAGAATCAGTATTCAATGATTGGCCAGCTGTAGGCACGTTAAGTATTTCTTTTAACTCTGAAATGGGGCTGTACTATGGGACGCAGAAAGGACGCCGTCCAGTGTAAGGGGGACTAAAGGGGAGTTTTATCGTTTTTAATTTGGTTTAGTCGTCCGTTTTAGGTTGACCGTCTTCTCCCTGTAGCAGGCCGCGAGCAGATGGTCGAGTTTGGCCACCTCTTCACGAAGACCACCCAGAAGAACCTTGGTGACGGGCACCTGTGGTTCTCCGTGGTTGCTCGCCCTCCTCGGAGCCGCTTCACGCGTCTCCAGCGAGTGACCTGCTGCCTGTGTCTCCTCTATATGACCATGCTGACCAGCGCCATGTTCTATGAGACGGTGCCGGAGTCGCCAGGGTCGAACGCAATCACATTTGGACCTTTCAGTTTATCACCGGAACAGGTAAAAGAAAACTAATGAGCCGTACGTGATTGACATTACGAAAAATAAATAAACAAATAAATAAATTAATTAATTAATAAAAATAAATAAATTAATAAATAAAACAAGCAAGTGTGTATAAGCAGTGGCTCTGTCAGACAGTTTTGCAGTCAGCGAATGGTAAATTGAATTATTGTAGGCATTTATTTCGAAAAAAAAACGAAAGAAAAAGAATAATTATTATATAAAGTGGGTTCTTCCATTCTAGATCTACGTGGGTGTGATCGGAACCATCATCGTGTTCCCCGTCAACCTTCTGATCGTCACGTTCTTCCGCAAAGCAAAACCAAGGAAGAAGCGCCCGTCCCGCATTCAGGCTGCCATGCAGAGAAACATCCTAACACAGAGCACCTCCACTCTCGGCGGAGCGCTGAAAACGCCAGACCCGTTGTCCCACAGGGATATCGTGCTTGAAAAGAACGAGAGGGTCGGGGAAAATAAGNAAATGGATTTTTACATGAACATTGTCCTTTAAGTCAAAGAGGCATGGTGCACCTTCACAGTGTATTTGTACTTTAATTAAAAGAAACTGTGTATAGTTGCTGTTTAATCAGCGGAAATAATATCAGTTTAAATTCCTCTTTGATTTTTAATGATAACAAAAGATTGATTTGAGTTTTATTTCATTAAACTGTAATAGTACATGATGCGTTAATTCAGTAGAACAGTGAATTAGAATCTCTCTATCCCAGGAATTAATTAATTAATTAAACAATTTATCATATTATTATAGGCAACGACGTACGCCTTAAAGAACCCGTTACCATCGGACGTGCAGGAGTCGATGAATGATATGTACTACGATGCGGACTTGGAAAATACTGAACAAAAAAGTAAATTGCATTAAGATGCTGGGGGCGGGGGGGGGGGGGGGTGGCATTTTTAATTCTATTTTATTTGTAAAATAGTTACCAAAAAATCGAGATTTCCTAGCTCATAGGTATTATGTTTGGATGAACAAAATCCAAAGATTGTTCGAGAAAATGTGTGGAAAAGGGTGAAGTGGTCATTTCTGCATGTAAGCAAACGTATTCCGTATTAAAAGAACTTTTTCCCCACCAGTAAATTGTTTTTTGTGCTTTTTTTAATAACGAGTAGAGGTTACTGAAACAGATGGTATTCCGTTACGAGTTATTGCAATATTTGGGGTCATCCTCTTTTCAGATGTGGCAGGACTTTCAAAGGACGAAGCGAGAAACCAGTTTGGTCGATACACTAGTGATGAGAGCCAGAAAGGAGTGGTGAGTTTTTACACGATTTAACATAAAAAATACGTTTTGATTGATTTTTGGTGAAAATCCGAGAACAATTGGGTTGGTTCGGTGATATGTATGAAGGTCACTGGTTTAAGAAAGTCATTCTTTAGCCGACTCTTTTGAAGTGATTCGTGACGTGGCTGTTTTGTAATTCCCGCATAGGTAGGCTACTTTACGTGTGTGCGCTAGCGCTCACTCTTGTACTTGTACGTTTATGTTTTTATTTTCCCAGAAATATTTTTAAAAAGATAGGCCCATGTGACGTCCCCACGTAGAATTCGCATATTTCAAAATGGCACATGTATATGTATAAACCTCCATATTTGTAATTAAGTGGCAATGTAGGACAGTGTCAGTTAGTCTGGTGACACTTTACACTGGTTTCCTTATTCCTTTCTACTACTCTGTCAGTGAGTTTACTTGGCGTGTGTGTGCTCAAGCTCACTCGTGCTTGCAATTGTGTGCTTACTTTGTCATATATATATGAATTTCTGACATAGATAGACCCATGTAATGGACCCAGAATCTGCATATCCGAAAATGGCTTATGTAGGCCTATATGTATAAACCTCCATAAATGTAAATGGAAATGTACCCAAGTATAGCGTTTTTTTATAATGGTGCCATATTCCCTTCTTTTAGTCTGGTAGTGCTGTCTCCACCCTTATGTCAGGGATAGGTAACGTCTCTGACGTCCTACTGTCCAAGACCATCCCCGGGGAGCCCTCCCTGGGGGTGGAGACCCCTCAGTTAAAGATGGAACTGGTGAAGAACGACGCCAATAAGATCGACAAGTTGAACCTTCAGTCGGCCAAGCTGCCCTCCTGGAACAGCATCCGGCCTGCATCCGGGCCAGGATCCGGGGATGACTTGGTGTCGGTGCAGGTGAGGGCAGTGCTGATATACATGTATTGTGATATTCGTGAAGGGCAATTTTGTTCCCTTTTAGGAACATGGTTTGAACTATGGCCTCTCAGACGCTTTTGATTAATTAGAAAAACAGTGATGATAAAATAAATAAATAAGTAAATAAGTAAATAAATAGATAGATAAATATATAAATATGTACTATTTGTTTTTTTGGCATGACCCTTTTAAGTAATTGTTTTTAGTTTTTCTTTTTTTAAAAAAAATATATTGGAATTACTATTGTGAGGTGAATGTATATGTAAACGTCTCCCTTTCAGTTGGTTCAATTTGCATCGAACCCCTTCGGTTCACTTAAGAACTCCGACAAAGTCGCAAACGGCTCCGAAACCGTATCCCTTGACCTCAAAGACGACAATGGGGCCACCATGGCCATCTCGAACACCCAACAACCCATCGAGATCTTCATAAACCGCGACACCAGCGGTCAGCTGCCCGTCCCGGACTATATATACCACAGCCCGATGGACCCCGCGGACGGGCTGTCGTACAGGTCCGTGAATATCACCGACTCCGATGTGGCCATACACTTTGAGATCGTGCCGGAGAGCAATGTGACCTTCTTGGTGTTGGTGAGACACGGAAGTCCACCTCAGCTGCAGGACGGGGAGTTTGATTTTTGGCAACTGGTACCGTCCGTCAGACTGGCTGCTGATGGTAAGTGGAGAGGGTAGAAGAGACAAAAAAGGTGTACCGGGAAAGGGGTGGGGGTGGGTGGTGGCTATGAGAGGGCGTAAAAATATCAAAAATGCTGTCCAGTGTATCGTGACGGAGAGTCCCCCCATGATGGAATCCGCTTCCCATTAATTTTTGCAGGTACAAGTGTGCTGTTTGATAATAAGATTGCATGTAGGCTGTTATTCTCGGCTTCATTGAATGCATTGCGACTTAAATTCAAGCAAATTGCAAAAAAAAAAAAAAAAAAAAAAAAAAAAAAACGAGGCGATAATTTTTTCACGGATGGGTAAAGTTTTCCCTTCTATTTGTCGTGTTTTCGCGATCGGAGGATAGATACAGTGTAGCATACATGATTGCTCCAGTCTCGAAAGAATAAAGTTTGGATAAATTGAAAAGTATATTCATTTGCAAAAATGCATACTGGCAAAGCTGGTTTATATACTGTTAACAGGTCAAATTGGTTGTAAAAATTTTCAATCCCTGCAATTTACTGACACATAAATGTCATTAATTAATTTTAATTGATTTCCATTAATCATTAATTAAAACAATTTATCAATATTTTTTTCTTTCACCGAAGGTACTCCTCTGAACAGCTACGAAGTCTTCATAGAGAGTGACCAAGTCGGCAACAAGACTGGCAAGTACTATGTGGGCATACGACAACTGGCGGACAATGAGACCGAACTGTATGGCCCACAGTGGACAAACTTCACCGGGAACTTCACCGAGGCTTTCACCGGTGCCAATAACATCACCACCAACTACACCATGAGAACGTACACCTCAGGGTGCTACTTTGCCACGGTCGGCATGACGGCAGTCAGTACGGAGGGCTGCATTGTGAGTTAAGCACCCTGTGGATCGAGCGTTGTGAAAATGAGTGAATGAATGAATGAGCTTGGGCAGTTACACCCTGAGTTTAAGAGCCCTGCATACATATATAAATGTTCACGAAACAGTGGCGGCATGGATAAGACGTGTAGAGGAAAGTAATCGTGTCTATCTATTTCAAGAACTTACGTTTTAGATTGCATTGATAGCGGGGAATCTGTTGAGTCTCTAATCGGGATATTAAGCGGCAAGTTTTAACGGGTCGCCATATTTGATCCGCGGATATGTTAGTCCGCTGTTCTGGATGCACTCTTTTGTAATTTTACGCGTGATCTCCAACATCTTCCTGTATTCTGGTCTCTTTTGGGAACCGAGAAAAAAAATGAACTCCCAGCCAAGCCCTAACTTCTTTTGTGATACCTATTGTTGAATATTGACAACAATAACTGAAATTTACTGAGACGAATTGTTTTCCAGGTTGGCAACAAGACGACCCACTATTCCACACAGTGTTATTGTACCCATCTGACGTCATTCATGGGCGGCTGGGTGGTCCAACCCAACACAATCGACTGGAACTTTGTCTTCTCTGGCGCAGCGGCTTTCGACAGGAATCCAACCCTGTACATAACCGAGATGTTGATAGCCGTGTTGTATATCATGACAGCTATATGGGCTAGACGGCAGGATAAGAAAGACGTGGAGAAGGTAGGCTTTGTTTTCTTTCAAACATGCTCTAAAGATGTGCGGGTGTAAATGTGTGTTACATAATTTTTCCGATTGTAAACTTGGTGATGTTTGCTTTTCAAGCATAAAGCTAATTTATAGCCTATCCCCATAGTGTGAGATAGTATTTTGCTCAATTTTAATTTTATTTCATTTTTCATTTTTTCAAAAATGATTGTACATTGGGATAAAAAATTGTTTGCCGATGGGGGTCATCCCACTCCGATTTCCGCACTCCACTTGAATGGTTTATAACACATATTCCTATTTGGCATCGTAACAAAAGTTAACATAAGATAAACCTTTGAGACGTTTTGACCCTCGCATTATCTTACTAGTAGTATATGTAATGTCTTACAGTTGGGCGTGTCTCCTTTGCCGGACAATGACCCTAATGACCACTACCTCTACGAAATGATCGTATTTACTGGGATGAGAAGAAATGCGGGCACCGAATCAAAAGTAAAGAATAATTTTCATATATTTTAGGCTTGTTTAATGCGTTTTTGTTTTTATATATTTTTGACTGTTAATGATGAGAAGACTAAGTAAAAGAATAAACATATGTTGGTAACGTAATCATATATCAACTTAGGGAAGTAAATTAAACCAAATATACAATAAATAAATAAATAAATAAATAAAACACTTACAATGCCTTTTTCGCCAGGTAAATTTTATTTTGTCTGGGGAATACGATGAAACGGACGTCAGAACGCTGGCAGACGACAAACGACGCACTTTGATGAGGGGATCGGTCGATCGTTTCTTGTTAGCCGTCCGGGGGTAGGTCATGTCTCAGTTCACTCCACTTCATTTCACTTTCATTTTGAGTATAAACCATATTAGAAATATTGGTATGTACGTTCCGTCATGTGTGAAAAAGGAAACTGAGTGATAAACCTTAAATATAGATATTAACATTTTTCGATTTTGTAGGTTGTCTGAACCAGTTCTAAGCTTGAGGTGAAAATTTGTCTGTATCTGCCAGTTGAATGACTCTCCTTACCGTTAAGTACTTTGCGCTGTATGATTTGCATCGGACGTTCACGTTGAAAAGCTTGTAGGCAAACATTTTAATGTTAAAATATTAAAATATTAAAATATTAAAATACCATTTAAAATAATTTTACCTGTATCTAGACCTTTGGGCGACCTGAACTACCTTCGCATCTGGCACGACAACTCTGGCAAGGGTCAGTTCGCCTCTTGGTACCTTAAATACCTCCTGGTGCAGGACCTGCAGACCAAGGAGAAGTACCACTTTATCTGCAACCGATGGTTTGCCGTGGAGGAAGACGACGGACAGGTACATGGTGGTCAACTTTTTTGTGTGTGTGGTCTGGCAAAATTGAAATGTTAATCCGTCCGGTCCGAGCATGTTCCAGTTTCTTTCTGATTGCCTAGGTAGGATTTGCTCGACTCGTTCACCTCTGTGGCAATGTGAAGTTTGTAGTACTCAGTGTAACGGGTATGATTTACTGTCTACATGTGACGAGTAATGTTCACCTCCATTGATCGCGCGATAAAATCCCTTTTACACTGGACGGCGTCCTTTCTGCGTCCTTTCTGCGACCATGAAACTTGCATCGCTGTGGCCCTAGAAAGGAGGCACAAGAGTTGCTACGGTTGCAGAATGAATGCTCAATGATCGGCTAGTTGTTGGCACGTAAAGTATTTTTTAACTCTGAAACGGGGCCGTACTTCGGGACGCAGAAAGGACGTCGTCCAGTGTAAAGGAGGCTTTAAGTGAGGGGAGTTTTTGTTTTTACTTTGGTTTACTCGTCCGTTTTAGGTTGACCGTCTTCTCCCTGTAGCAGGCCGCGAGCAGATGGTCGAGTTTGGCCACCTCTTCACGAAGACCACCCAGAAGAACCTTGGTGACGGGCACCTGTGGTTCTCCGTGGTTGCTCGCCCTCCTCGGAGCCGTTTCACGCGTCTCCAGCGAGTGACCTGCTGCCTTTGCCTGCTCTATATGACCATGCTGACCAGTGCCATGTTTTATGAGACGGTGCCGGAGTCGCCAGGGTCGAACGCAATCACATTTGGACCTTTCAGTTTATCACCGGAACAGGTAAAAGAAAACTAATGAGCCGTACGTGATTGACATTACGAAAAATAAATAAACAAATAAATAAATTAATTAATTAATTAATAAAAATAAATAAACAAATAAATAAAACAAGCAAGTGTGTGTAAGCAGTGGCTCTGTCAGACAGTTTTGCAGTCAGCGAATGGTAAATTGAATTATTGTAGGCATTTATTTCGAAAAAAAAACTAAAGAAAAAGAATAATTATTTTATAAAGTGGGTTCTTCCATTCTAGATCTACGTGGGTGTGATCGGTACCATCATCGTGTTCCCCGTCAACCTCCTGATCGTCACGTTCTTCCGCAAAGCAAAACCAAGGAAGAAGCGCCCGTCCCGCATTCAGGCTGCCATGCAGAGAAACATCCTAACACAGAGCTCCTCCACTCTCGGCGGAGCGCTGAAAACGCCAGACCCGTTGTCCCACAGGGATATCGTGCTTGAAAAGAACGAGAGGGTCGGGGAAAATATGAGCATGTATAACCAGAGCCGCTCGGCGACGACCGTCTCAATTCAGTTGCCGTCTACTACCCCTGCTTCGCTCACTAAAGCCTACGACAAAGGACAGCAAAGCTTATCTAATATCAGCATCCCCGAGGCTTTCGAGTACAAAGAGGATGCTGGGAAGGGGAAGAGAAAGAAGAAAAAGAAGCCGCTGGAACTTCCGTGGTGGTTCACCATCGTGGCTTGGATACTGATGTGGATTTTAATCCTTGGTTCGGCGTTCCTGGTGACCATGTACGGGATAACATTCCAGGAGACGAAAGCACAGAAGTGGATCACGTCTATGATCATTTCCTTCCTGACGTCAATCTTCCTCACAGAACCAGTCAAGGTGAGAAAGGCAGTCAGTCAGTCCTTCGTTCAGTCACAGACTGAGTCTTCCAGTCACCTGGCTAGTCATCTAGTCAAATATTTGTCCGGTGAATTAATCGTGTATCTTCAGACTTTTTAGTATAATTGATCCATATAAAATGTATTCTNCTTTTTTGTGTGTGTGGTCTGGCAAAATTGAAATGTTAATCCGTCCGGTCCGAGCATGTTCCAGTTTCTTTCTGATTGCCTAGGTAGGATTTGCTCGACTCGTTCACCTCTGTGGCAATGTGAAGTTTGTAGTACTCAGTGTAACGGGTATGATTTACTGTCTACATGTGACGAGTAATGTTCACCTCCATTGATCGCGCGATAAAATCCCTTTTACACTGGACGGCGTCCTTTCTGCGTCCTTTCTGCGACCATGAAACTTGCATCGCTGTGGCCCTAGAAAGGAGGCACAAGAGTTGCTACGGTTGCAGAATGAATGCTCAATGATCGGCTAGTTGTTGGCACGTAAAGTATTTTTTAACTCTGAAACGGGGCCGTACTTCGGGACGCAGAAAGGACGTCGTCCAGTGTAAAGGAGGCTTTAAGTGAGGGGAGTTTTTGTTTTTACTTTGGTTTACTCGTCCGTTTTAGGTTGACCGTCTTCTCCCTGTAGCAGGCCGCGAGCAGATGGTCGAGTTTGGCCACCTCTTCACGAAGACCACCCAGAAGAACCTTGGTGACGGGCACCTGTGGTTCTCCGTGGTTGCTCGCCCTCCTCGGAGCCGTTTCACGCGTCTCCAGCGAGTGACCTGCTGCCTTTGCCTGCTCTATATGACCATGCTGACCAGTGCCATGTTTTATGAGACGGTGCCGGAGTCGCCAGGGTCGAACGCAATCACATTTGGACCTTTCAGTTTATCACCGGAACAGGTAAAAGAAAACTAATGAGCCGTACGTGATTGACATTACGAAAAATAAATAAACAAATAAATAAATTAATTAATTAATTAATAAAAATAAATAAACAAATAAATAAAACAAGCAAGTGTGTGTAAGCAGTGGCTCTGTCAGACAGTTTTGCAGTCAGCGAATGGTAAATTGAATTATTGTAGGCATTTATTTCGAAAAAAAAACTAAAGAAAAAGAATAATTATTTTATAAAGTGGGTTCTTCCATTCTAGATCTACGTGGGTGTGATCGGAACCATCATCGTGTTCCCCGTCAACCTTCTGATCGTCACGTTCTTCCGCAAAGCAAAACCAAGGAAGAAGCGCCCGTCCCGCATTCAGGCTGCCATGCAGAGAAACATCCTAACACAGAGCACCTCCACTCTCGGCGGAGCGCTGAAAACGCCAGACCCGTTGTCCCACAGGGATATCGTGCTTGAAAAGAACGAGAGGGTCGGGGAAAATATGAGCATGTATAACCAGAGCCGCTCGGCGACGACCGTCTCAATTCAGTTGCCGTCTACTACCCCTGCTTCGCTCACTAAAGCCTACGACAAAGGACAGCAAAGCTTATCTAATATCAGCATCCCCGAGGCTTTCGAGTACAAAGAGGATGCTGGGAAGGGGAAGAGAAAGAAGAAAAAGAAGCCGCTGGAACTTCCGTGGTGGTTCACCATCGTGGCTTGGATACTGATGTGGATTTTAATCCTTGGTTCGGCGTTCCTGGTGACCATGTACGGGATAACATTCCAGGAGACGAAAGCACAGAAGTGGATCACGTCTATGATCATTTCCTTCCTGACGTCAATCTTCCTCACAGAACCAGTCAAGGTGAGAAAGGCAGTCAGTCAGTCCTTCGTTCAGTCACAGACTGAGTCTTCCAGTCACCTGGCTAGTCATCTAGTCAAATATTTGTCCGGTGAATTAATCGTGTATCTTCAGACCTTTTAGTATAATTGATCCATATAAAATGTATTCTTAATGTTACTTATTCTTAATTGTAAGAAGCTTAAAACGTCTATTGATTTTTTGAATGAGAACTAATTATTTTAAGAATTTACGGCTTTATGAGGGAAAGGTTTTTTCTCGATATCTAATTTTTTTATCGAAATATCCCCAGGTTTTCTTGTTGGCCATTTTTTTCTCGCTGATAATCAAGAAGGTCGATGAGGATGAGGACGAGGAAGAGGGAGAGGCGGACGAAGAAGAACCTCAGTTACAAACCGATGAAATGTGGCTTCATCCACCAGAAAGTGAGAACTCATTGTGAAACACGTGTCTATACATTGCGATGTTGTTTTTGCCTTTCAGTTGTGTTATATTTAAGTTAAAATGTGATATTTCAGTTGAAACTTTATTAATGGTATGTCCTGTGAATGTTTGTCCTGTGTTTTAATTGAACGCCAGGCTGTGGCAGTCCGATATCTACAAATAGTGCAGTTGATTTTATGTGCGTCATACGAAAGTTTGACTCCAGTAATGATAAAAAACACAGCAGCGCTCTTCACAGGCAACGAAATGTATAAGGTATTTTGTTGAATAGATTACATCACATTATATTGTAAAATACACAATTTTGTACTAGTAACACGGCTTCAGAAGATAAGAAATCATTATTTTTTTCAAAATGCTCTCCATACATTTTAACAGCTTATGGCGCAGCCAAGCCCAGGAAGATCGCCTACAAGCCTCCAAACCCCGCCGCACTGGAGGAGGCAAGGGAGAAACGCATTAAAGAGCTTAAGATGTACGATATCCTGCGAGAGATCATATTTTACTGTCTGTTCCTCTGGCTGCTGATGGTGATTAGTTACGGAAATAGGGACCCTTACGGCTTCCTGCTTAAAAGACACATGGACGATCTTTTTGTATTCAAAGGAAGCATTACCATGGACTTCACTAAGGTATAACGTTCTTTTTTTCACCTGTTTTCTTGTACGCCTTTTAATGTAGATATACCACACAATAGACTTCTATCCAGACTTGTTCAATGTTTTAGAAATATTATCACTGGATTCTTAGGTATCATACTAAAGGACACATTAACCAGCTGTGAGTTTCATGGGTGCGAAAATAATTCCCAATCGGTAAATGAGACTATTAAAAATAAAGCTTGGAGAATTATTCAAAGAGAAAACATACCCTGATAGCTCGACCATCACTATCTTTATGCTGAATTAAATGTTATTTTTGTATTAAAATTTTAATTCTGTATCAATAAAAATTCCGTTGTGACAACCAAGACCTTTTAAAAATGTTACGGATATCTTTTGAAATGCGATGTTACATGTATGAAAGGATGAAACTACATGAACGGGATAGATTGACCACAATTCCAAAATAACATCCTTGCCTTCGTTGAAATAATGAAATTATTTTACACTAGATGTTGGATCACACAAACGTAGACGAAAATAAAATTTCTTATATATAAAAGAAACAGAACGGTTATTTATCGGCAATGAATGAAGAATCCTAAAGGTAAAATATGAAGCGAGAGTTATTATTATTTTTATTACAGTTGCGAACCTCGACTCATTATTATTATTATTTGTATAATTTTAGCTGCAAAACTCGACTCACTTCTGGCACTGGTATAAAGAGGGCTTGGTGCCCGGATTGAGGGCCTCTGTCTGGTACAACAACGACCCACCATTGGGTCAGCGCGGTTTCCTAGGCGACAGGACGTGTAGGATGATGGGATATGCCACCATGAGGCAGGTCAGAGTGAAGCCAGGTGAGACAGGCGTGGCTAATTATAAAACTTTACGAAACTAAAACTGGGGTAATTATTACCTGTTCACCTTCACCTGAACATGTTATTCAGTTGTGAATAAGTCTGTCAGAGTGAACAGACGAAACGGTCAACAGGTAAATCATATATATGTATGGATCAATCTGAAATAGTAACTTTCTGCATATCAAAACTGAGATCCAATGAGACTATTTTTCACATTTTAAATTGAACTGTCTAAATCCTTTGTAATGAGACTGCATTCGGGATAACGCCTTTAATCATCTCCAGACCTGTTCAACTATCTTGAATCTTCGAAAACAAAGGATAATAAGTAATAACGGGGTCTACTGTACGATATTGAATGATAATTTTAAATGGAATCACGTAAATAGAGGACAAATAATTGTTTGTAATTGGCCGCAAAACTGGTGCTATGCTTTTTTCAGTTCTCTGCTCTGAAAGATTTCTGTGCTGTTACGAAAAATAGTTTCTGAAAACGAAATGCTTTTCTCTCTAGGGTTGCCCGAGATTTACAAATAATAATAATAATAATAGGTTAACGTTTTCCTTTTTTTATTCCAGGGCAGTGCAGAATCCACGACCTACTGACTAAAGTGATCAAGGAGTGTAACGAGGCCTACAGCATAATGGAAGAGGAGGATGGGTCGTTTGGAGTGGGCTGGGTCCCTTTCAACGGAACCTCCACCGTCAACAACTCAAGGTGTGCGTAAATATGGAACAGTAGCACATTTGACCTTCATAGGACCTTTGGCAAACGGGACTGTAGTTAGTTAAAGTGCATGCAAAACATTATGGGCATAGCTCTTTACAAATTTTTACCCGTATTTCAAATTTTGACGGGTAACAGTAAATGTTTTTTTATTTAATTTTATTGTATTGACAATTTATGAAGTTCCACAAGAGTAAATGTTTATTTTCCTTTAAAAATGTTATAGTTAGGCAGAAATATCAGTACATAGCATAATTTGCCTTGTATAGTGCGTTATCACTGCATATATTTCCAGCCCGGAGTACACATACCGTACCTCTAGCGAGCTCGACGGTTACCCACACTACGGTCTGCTGACGGTGTACGGCGGCGGAGGGTATGTGGCGGAGCTTAGAGGCAGCGCCAGAACCCTGCTTGCCCTGGGAGAGCGTCTGGAGAGGGAGAAGTGGATAGACAAGTACACCCGCGCGGTGCTTGTGGAGTTCACGTGCTACAACCCCGGTATCAACCTCTTCTCCATTGGGACCATGGTGGCAGAGTTTCCAGAGACTGGCGGCGTTTTTACCAGTTACCGATTTGAGCCAACGCGTCTGTTCAACTATCTTGGGTCTGCAATGGGGTTCCAGATTTTCTGTGAGGTGTCATACTTTGTTTTTATATTCTTCTTCATGTATAAAGAGGGTAGGAAGATGTGGCGGGCTCGATGCAAGTATTTCTCAGAGTTCTGGAATCTTGTGGAGTTCTCCATCATTGCGTTCTCGATTGGTGGCGCTGTGGTGTTTTTCTATCGTCTGCTTCTCACCGATACCTTGACAACTTCCTTCAAGGAGTCCCATGGCAACAGTTATATCAAGTTCCAGTATGTAGGCTACTGGAACGAGATGTACAGCTACATGTTAGGTTTCATCTGCTGTCTCGGCACCTTGAAGTTCTTGAAGCTGCTTCGCTTTAACAAGCGTATGTCCTTTTTGGCGGCAACGCTTAGGCACAGCACCAAGCACCTGTTTGCGTTCGCAGTCATGTTCTTTATCGTGTTTTTCGCATTCGTGCAATTCTTCACTCTGGACATGGGCACTCAGATCCTGAACTTTGCCAACGTGCTGTACGCCAGCGAGTCCTGCATGCAGATGATGCTGGGAAAGTTCGACTTCTGGGGGCTGGCATCTGCCAGTGAACTCGCGCCATATTTCTTCGTCCTCTTCGTGGTTCTGGTCTCCTGGATCACCATCAACATGTTCCTGTCGATCATGAACGAGAGCTTCACCGCCGTCAAGAATGACCTTTCCAAGCAGCCCAACGAATACGAGATGGTGGACTTCATTGTAACTAGGTTCAAGCTCTGGACGGGGTTGGGGGCTCCAAAAGCCGGTCAACCCACCACTTCCACCACCCCGGACAAACTGAACAACGAGAAGACTGAGGGCCAGGACAAGGAGAACTCGGTGGAGACCGATTTGAATCATTTCCCAGAGAAAGTGGACCGGCTCCTGAACACAGTGGGCCGCGTTTACTTCGACTTGGAGACAAACAGCGGCAAGGACGCGTTCAAGCAGATGCTGAAGGACAACAAGTTGAAGGCAAAGATGCACAGCGGAGGCTACGGCAACGGACTGAAGGATCCAGAAGCTGAAGACTTGGCAATGCTCTAACGATTTCTGCGCTGTTTCAATGTCGACGAAGCACAAAGAGTGCACAATATTCTCCGTCAAGTCTGATAAACTAGCGAATAATTGGTAGTGAAAAAATTAACCTTGAAATGTCAGTTGTATTAGTCAATTTTTGTAGCCTTTTCGCTTTCCAGTGTTGATTTGTTAATTATCTTCATGTGACGTTGCCACACGTTAGGACTGTCGTTCTGGTAATTTTCATCTTTTTTCTGGTATTTTTTGTCCATTTTAATATTACGCTGCAGGATTTTAACTTGATCCCCCTATGTCCAAAATATTGTATTAGTCCGACAGAGACCACTGTTCTGTTTAAAGTACAAATTCGAAAAATACTGTACACGTAGTACTAGATTGTGCTCATGATTCTAAGACAGTGGGCACTGTGAGTGTTACGGACCCGATATCTTCAGTTCATTCAGAAAAGGGATTTGTTTTAGTTATAATAGTAGTTATTCAAGTTATTCATTTTTTTAGTATATTGGAATTGTCCTATGCGCTAAAGAACCAATANTAGACCAACAATACAATCCCATGGTACAGCGGTTTTATACTCATTAGTCACATTATAAGTAGACCAGGCATTATAATTACCCAAGATCTGCCTACTTTTATTACTCTGAGTTAGGGGGTGACACTTCTTTTGTCCAGTGTGTGTAGGCAGGCTTTTTAATGTGTTGTTTAGAAAAAAAAAACGGCTTTTGGTTCTGAGAAACATTTTAATATCAAAGTTTAATCTCAAACAATTTGTCTTTGCTTGTTGGAGTACAAAACCTTTGTAGATATATATTCTAATAATTGATGGACTATTGTAAACAGTTTCAACTTTAACGTGTTCAGATAGTGCAAGTGTCAATAACTCGTTTTGAAAAGTAACTAAAATATTTGTGTGACCACATGTTATTCTCATATTACGTGTCATCACCTCAGTTGCGTGCTTACAGAAAAATTAAGGGGAAATTTTCAGGATTATGTCAAATAATGCAATTAGACCAAAATAAATTCCTTCAGTTTGAAAACAAGCATGGGTGGCTCTAAACTGAAGAAATAATAATTGATGTAATAATACATGTAATAATAATAATAATAGTCATGGTATAAGATAAAAAATAAATGAAAAAAGTCGGGATATATAAATTATTGAATAAGGACAAACAGGTAAGATAAAGGAAAATGAAGTAAGAAGAAATGAACTTAAAAAAATGAAAATAGCATCACATGAAATCATTTTGAATCCCATTTCGTTTGCATTTGGAAAACCACGGATACGGGAAGTGTCCAATATGACGTTAAAGGAACAACCCTAAATAGGCCCCACACCAGGCTTGCGTGCAAACCGTTGTATTCCAGATGGAAATGCAAAGACAGTGTACACAATGTTATAAAAAGGTGTTGTAACCATATGAGATAGTAATCTGAAGTGATCGTTGGCATAGAAAAAAGTAAATTGCATGTAGTGAAAGTCGTTAATAAGTAGAGAAACATTTCAAATTTTGCAGTGAATCGGCAAAAATTGACGTCGAAAGACGAATGCACGGGTGGATAAAATACTCCACCTTTAAACATTTTAAATATTCCAAGCGCCTCTGGTTCACTGATTTATTTTAGCCAATAAGACCATCAGAAATAAACCTTTTGCCGCTGCATGCACCTGTGGAAGTTGATTTGTTGACAACTCGATTGATAGCTAAGAGGGCATTCACAACAAATGATCCTCAAATGTACTGATCCGCGGATCAAATATGGCGGAGGTAGTTTTGGAGTATATGAGAAAAAAAGCCACTCTCGCGTACTGCTTCACGGAGGTAGTTTTGGAGTATATAAGAAAAATGCTCTGCTGCAACAGTACTCCACGGAAGTAGTTTTGAGGTATATTAGAAGAAAGGGAATGCTTGCGTATTGCTCATCATTTAGTTACTTTGTGACCATTTTCATAAATTGTAAAATTCGCCAATGTATTTGTAATGTTTATCAACATACTTCCATCACCTGCATGAATCTCTGCTCGAGACAGTTTTCTTGTTTAAGGTCGTAAAATTATAAGTTTACCTGTGAGTAGGTTTAACTGAAGAATGACCGGTGAGCCAAAAATAAATAAAATGAAATACAATTTCATGCCAAGGATTCTTTTAACTTGTATTTAAGCTAAAGTTAGGTGTTTATACTTACTTAAATTTCCTTCTCTATTCAGTGATTGCCTGCAAGACCCCTACACCTCCACCGTTCACTGAAATAATATTCTCTGTAAAGTCAAATTAACTAGCAAATAATTGGCAGTGAAAAAAATTAATCTATAAAATGTAAATTGTATTGGTCAATTTTTGTAGCCTTTTCGATTCCAGTGATATATTTGTTAATTATCTTCATGTAACGTTGCCACACGTTAAGCCTGTCGTTCTGGTAAATTTTATATTTTTGGAAATTTATATTTTTTTCTGGTATTTTTATGTCCATTTTAATACTACGCTGCAGGATTTTAACTTGATCCCCCTATGTCCAAAATATTGGTATTAGTCCGACAGAGACCACTGTTCTGTTTAAAGTACAAATTCAAAAAATACTTCCTGTACACGTAGTATTAGATTGTGCTCAAGTTTCTAAGACAGTGGGCACTGTGAGTGTTACGGACCTGATATCTTCAGTTCATTCAGAAAAGGAATCTGTTTTAGTTATAATAGTAGTTATTCATTTTTAGTATATTAGAATTATCCTATGCGCTAAAGAACCAATGACCTTAAGGCAAAGACAAGACATAGTATTGAATCTACAATTCCTCTTTTTCGAAGGGTCATATGAAAACATTTTGAAATGCAAAACTGCAGCGCCGATAATTGACGTACACTGTATACACATGTATCAGCCATTTGGTATTTTGTATGGAACAGCTAGCATATACTGAACCGTTTACAACCAAAATATACAGAACATTCTCATTCTCTGAGACACTCTCAAAACGTTATATCTCCCAAAGTTCAGAATTGTTAGATCTCCAAAGACTTTAAATCTTCAGAAAATCCTCAGAAAATGTAATGTACAAACTTAAAACTAATTTTAATTTTAACTGATTGCTATCTTATCAATTAATTATTTTATGTTTAAATGCCATAGTGTGTTAAATATGCTTTTATCACTCTTTTAGGACTAAATCCAACTTTTAATTGCAAGAAAAAGATTATTATTATTATTATTATTATTATTATTATTATTATTATTATTTTACTCTTGTTTCGGTAAATGATTTATCTCTGGAAGAACAGTAGTGTATATTTAACACACTCTTATTTAAAAGGAAACACCATTTATGTGCACCAGCACCTTTAGTGTGCAGCAATAAACATGTATGTGTTTAATAAAATTATGTCACGCATATATTATTTCTTGAATTTTTCACTTAGTTCGGGTTGTCTGGGCAAAAGTTCACGCATTGGTGATGCATGCGCTCTCTCTCTCTCTCTCTCTCTCTCTCTCTCTCTGTGTGTGTGTGTGTGTGTGTGTGTGTGTGCGCGTGCAGTTGTTGTTGCACTTGTTAATACTGTTTTTCACTTCATTTCTCGAAACAGAATCAATGACACCAAACACTTCCCTTGTAATAGAGGTTTCATGTGGAACCATGCTTCAGCTACATGTAGTCAAAATTCTAAATTCAAGAGGGGACCATTGGTGTGATTTTTTTCAGAAATCGAAGGGGCGGGTCAGGACCCCCCTCCCCCCCCTCCCAAATCCTGGGAGGTCCAAGTCAGTGGAGTTGTCATGGAGACAAGATTAAAATACACAAACATTTTCTCGGGGCCCCGAACCCCACGGGGGGGTGAGGGGTGAGGGCCGGTTTTGCATGCAATATATGGGGATTTTGTAATTTTCCCCTGTAAGTGAAGGAGCAGCTATTGATGAAGCATTCATACTGTTATATTTTCTAACCATTAAAGAAAATCAAATTTTGTTTTAAAAAACCATTCAATAAAAGTATTACTTTAAGAATAATTTGTTTTTGGATGACCTTATTGTACTTTTTAGACATGCCGCATACTGAAAATTGCATAGAAGTTCATTTTCCACAACTGATCCAAATTTCATGCTTGTAGTTAAATGTGCATGATAAATTCACCATACTGCCACATAACTACAGTGGATGGGCTGCTGCTTTAGAATTTACTCTTGGATATTACATTGGATTTTTATATGACTAAAAAAGCAGTTATTGATACTTCATTCATACTGTGGTGCTTTCTAACCATTAGATGATATTTAAAGCTATTAAAACAGTATATATTTGAGGTTTTATCTTGAAAGGGTATTTTGGGGGGACATATTGGAATTTTAACGAACGCCAATATATCTTCATTCCATTCCCTACAACTGAGCCAAATTGCATGCTGGTGGGTTTAAAAATGCACGCTTCCTCACCATTGTTCGACAATATTATAGGGGAAACACGATATGACATAACCGCGCATCTTGCGCATGTGCAAGCTTCGTTACTCAAAACAGGTTTTACCAAGCAACAGAAGGGCGTTTACCTGAAACAACCATGGCTCAGAGGCGATATACCGTGTTTCTTATCCTTCTTATGTTGGATCCCAGGTTAGTAGTAGCAAGCAAATGTACCTTCTTTATAATTATTAATAGTAGTAGTGGTGGTTAATTAGAGTCACCGTATGGCCGCATTCAGAACAGTAGACTAACTAGTCCGAGGGTTAAATATGGCAACCCACTAAAAATCTAATCCGCTAATAGACACTGAATAGATTCCCCTTTGGAAAGTATTCAAGTTGGTCGGTCATATTTGCCTAGTTTGTCCACTGTTGGCCAACTGATCATTTATGGTGCATTCCCAGAGATTTAGATCGATCCAGAGATTAAGATTTAGATCGACCTAACTCCCTGGGGGTTCACGCTAAATTGCAGTCATCCGAGCGGGCACCATAGTTAATTACCCCCTTACAGCTTTTAGTATGCGGGACAGACGCTTAGAGGACCGTTCACATGAAAAATCTATTTTCTAAAAATCTAGTAAAAGTAGTATCTCTATAAGCTTGTTGAAACATTCCCTGTTGATAAAAATAGCAAACATTACCTTTCCCGAGACCAGATAGTCCTCTCAGGTGAAACGATCAGCAAAGACAACAAAAGCAACATCAACTGTTTTCGCCTCCTAGCTCGCATTCTATAAAATCTCATCCTCCGTTGCCGCATCGCTTGCCATCGGATCATGACGTTTGCACTCATATCTGTCGTCTGTCGATGGTGTCATTTGATATATGCTGTTTATTTTTCTAATGCTAACATTATGTTATCGTTCTAGTAACTATTACTTAGGCCATATCGACTCGACTAACTTGCGTATGGATTTGTTTTTATTCCGCAGATTGTAGATATATTATGTTTATTCTGGGCTTGTAAAAATACTTTGTACTTTCTGCTCACGTTCGAATTATATCTATCTATCTACAGTATCTATCTATCTACCTATGCCAGCAGAGTTACTTCCCCGGGAATAAATTGAAAAAATCTAATTATGTAGTTGTTTTTTTTTTTTTTCTGTACTACAATATAATACATGTACAACGATGTTAGCTTTGCAGCAAGTAATATTTATTAAAGTCTGGCAGGTGGGATAGCCTGGTAGTTTGGGCTGGACTGGGGTGGGAGGAGGGTTATGGATGTTTTTCCATTTTACTTCACAGAAGCTCATAACTTCTTAGGACACATCTTCACACCAATTTTTATTAAAATCTGTTGCAACCCCTCACCCCCCCCCCCCCTTGCCGCTATTTGGTTGAGTTTCTCGTGAAATGGCACCTATAGTATAGTCTCTACTCCTGTACATCTCTTTAGTTGAAAATAATGTGATGTAATGTACACGCTGAAACCACTGTTATCTTGATCTTTTCCCCCTGTCTGTTTCCACCCATTGTACATTTAGCTGCCAAGTTTCCCAGAGTACTTGGGGCATTTCTTCTTTTGTCCTGGCAGACACCATGTACTAGTAATACTTAAAATGAAAAATTAGGTTGCACATTTTAAATAGCCCCGCGAGTACTGAATCCTTTTTTTCCTGTGAGAAATCCAAGCACTGCATGCGATGAAAGAGTGTTACGGTAATGTGCCAACAGGTCGACCAAGATTTATTAATAAATTTCAACGTCATTTTGGTCAATTTGAAATACAGCAATAAAAACCGTGTTACGTTTTAGTCAAGGCATTTTTTCTCGATGAAGTTATAATACTGACTATTTAGTGGTTTTTTCTCTTTTGCATGTAGATATTATATCCAAGTTGCCGAGATGAGCGAAAGTGATCTGAAAGCCAAATTTTCAGAGTACTGTGAGTTTGGAAAGGACACAATCAGTGTTAAAAACCTGACCAGAATGTTTACAGATTGCGACCTGTTTAACGCAAAGTTTAGTTTAAATCAGTTAGAAATCTTATTCGCTAAGGTAAAAGGAAAGGGGTAAGTCATTTTATTTCTTGTTCTGAATCTAATCCTTTTGCTGTCAGTGTTTGATTTTGCACGAACGTTTAAGCAGGTTGCCACGCCTTATTGTGTTTAACATAAGATTTAATTGGCTACTTAATTTGAATAAAATGCCGGATGAGTTTGGAAATCAGCATGATAGGATTACAGTTTACAAAATTTATTGGAATTTATTTTGCTGCATGCATGCTTGTTTATCACGTTCTCACCATAAGTGCCAAACTTTAACTTTGTATTTAATTTAATGGAAAGTTTTGTTTGATAAAAAGTCATTTGGAGCTTTTTGGTGTCTCGCAATCATGTTTTCTTTGAGTAAATGTCGGTTTGGTTTCATTTCGTAGTCAAAAAGAATATTTTTAAAGCCATCACATGTCGAAAAAAGTCAAAGTGTATTTTGCTTTTAATGATAGGGATATTTCGTTAAATAGTGTGCACTGTTCGGTTTACAGTGAGCATAAGGTCTAGCAAATATGTATATACAGCCATTGTATTGCAGGTCAAGGGAAATAAACTTTCAGGACTTTGAGGCTTTGCTGGGCAATATAAAACTTAACGATGCATATGACTATCACTCTGATATTATTAGAGCCAAGATTGCAGGTTGTGTTAGACCCTGGTACAGCTCGAAAAACTGTAAGTTTACATGTACTGGACCCCGTTCAATTTATAATCATTAGTTGACAACGCTCAGCTAGTTGACTTAGCAAAGTCGACTATACTGTAGCCGACTACGAGTGTTTCACAAAGAAAATAAAATTCTAGCTTCCTACGTCTTAGTTAACTCTCTTGTTTCCAATCTGGTAAACTGATTGCAATCAGCAAGAGTCCCCGTGGAGTTAATGCGCATTAACTACTTCGACATAAATCATTCTGAAATTTCCCAAACACTTAGACGAGTCTTAACATATAATTAGACATCGATTAAGGGGTGCTCCCTTGGGCAGATGTTTTACCTCCAATACATCTTGTACCCATCATACGCCAATCAAAATTAATCCAGTTAGTGCCATGTTGAGCTTAAGGACGCCATTCAAGTGACCCCCTTACTCCAGCTAAAGTTGCCAGTCTTCCTCGGTGTTTCAGAACACAGGCCATTCAGAACAGTAGATCAGAGGTTCTACTGATCCACGGGTCAAATATGGCGGACCCTACATGAGAAAAAGAACCAACTAATCCGCTGATGGTTTCCCCGCCTCCACACGCGCCGCCCTTGCAGGTGTCTAGCTAGTAAACCTCGGGGTCGTGATTTAATCCTTTTAATGGCGCGTGTGGAGCCTGGGAGACCAGCGGATTAATCGACCCTTCTTTCATGTAGGACCCGCTATATTTGATCCGTGGCTCAGTAGATTCTCTGATCTTCTCTTCTGAATGGCTTCTAATACTGCTTGATGTGAAAATAATCTTTACCCATAATTGACCAAATGTGAACAATTGACCATGGTCCTTGTACATCACTTTTGAATAAAAATTTGCTTTGCTGAGCTTTCAGCATTAGTTATTTTTGTTTCATTTTACTTCTTTATCTTTTTTATTTTCCATGCCCTGGACACTTTTCTATTACATTGTAACTCAAGTGGATGTTGAAACTGCTTACTTGAATGCAATATTTTGTATGTCATGTAATTTTGTAAATAACTCAGAAAATATCTGGTTTCAGTGCGCAGAGAACATTGGGATAGAATTGATGAGTCTGGTAATGGCAGGGGGTTTGGAGGACGTGAAGATGTTGCTGACAACAGTGGATATGGTGGAGGTTACCAGGGCGCTGGAACATATGACCCCAAGCACTGAATTTAGAAACTCAACTTTTCGTAGATTATTATTTTCGTAGATTATATGGCCATGGTATAAGATAAAAAATAAATGAAAAAAGTCAGGATATATAAATTATTGAATAAGGACAAACAGGTAAGATAAAGTAAAATGAAGTAAGAAGAAATGAAAATAGCATCACATGAAATCATTTTGAATCCCATTTCGTTTTCATTTGGAAAACCACGGATAAGGGAAGTGTCCAATATGACGTTAAAGGAACAACCCTAAATAGGCCCCACACCAGGCTTGCGTACAAACCGTTGTATTCCAGATGGAAATGCAAAGACAATGTACACAATGTTATTAAAAGGTGTTGTCACCATATGAGATAGTAATCTGAAGTGATCGTTGGCAGAGAAAAAAGTAAATTGCATGTAGTGAAAGTTGTTAATAAGTAGAGAAACATTTCAAATTTTGCAGTGAATCGGCAAAAATTGACGTCGAAAGACGAATGCACGGGTGGATAAAATACTCCACCTTTAAACATTTTAAATATTCCAAGCGCCTCTGGTTCACTGATTTACTTTAGCCAATAAGACCATCAGAAATAAACCTTTTGCCGCTGCATGCACCTGTGGAAGTTGATTTGTTGACAACTCGATTGATAGCTAAGAGGGCATTCACAACAAATGATCCTCAAATGTACTGATCCGCGGATCAAATATGGCGGAGGTAGTTTTGGAGTATATGAGAAAAAAGCCACTCTCGCGTACTGCTTCACGGAGGTAGTTTTGGAGTATATAAGAAAAATGCTCTGCTGCAACAGTACTCCACGGAAGTAGTTTTGAGGTATATTAGAAGAAAGGGAATGCTTGCGTATTGCTCATCATTTAGTTACTTTGTGACCATTTTCATAAATTGTAAAATTCGCCAATGTATTTGTAATGTTTATCAACATACTTCCATCAACTTGTATTTAAGCTAAAGTAAGGTGTTTATACTTACTTATATTTCCTTCTCTATTCAGTGATTGCCTGCAAGACCCCTACACCTCCACCGTTCACTGAAATAATATTCTCTGTAAAGTCAAATTAACTAGCAAATAATTGGCAGTGAAAAAAATTTATCTATAAAATGTAAATTGTATTGGTCAATTTTTGTAGCCTTTTCGATTCCAATGATATATTTGTTAATTATCTTCATGTAACGTTGCCACACGTTAAGACTGTCGTTCTGGTAAATTTTATATTTTTGGTAATTTATATTTTTTCTGGTATTTTTATGTCCATTTTAATACTACGCTGCAGGATTTTAACTTGATCCCCCTATGTCCAAAATATTGGTATTAGTCCGACAGAGACCACTGTTCTGTTTAAAGTACAAATTCGAAAAATACTTACTGTACACGTAGTACTAGATTGTGCTCATGATTATAAGACAGTGGGCACTGTGAGTGTTACGGACCTGATATCTTCAGTTCATTCAGAAAAGGAATCTGTTTTAGTTATAATAGTAGTTATTCATTTTTAGTATATTAGAATTATCCTACGCGCTAAAGAACCAATAACCTTAAGGCAAAGACAAGACATAGTATTGAATGAATCTACATTTACTCTTTTTCGAAGGGACATATGAAAACATTTTGAAATACAAAATTGCAGCGCCGATAATTGACGTACACTGTATACACATGTATCAGCCATTTGGTATTTTGTATGGAACAGCTAGCATATACTGAACCATTTACAACCAAAATATACAGAACATTCTCATTCTCTGAGACACTCTCAAAACGTTATATCTCCCAAAGTTCAGAATTGTTAGATCTCCAAAAACTTTAAATCTTCAGAAAATCCTCAGAAAATGTAATGTACAAACTTAAAACTAATTTTAAGAAACTGATTGCTATCTTACCGATTAATTATTTTATGTTTAAATGCCATAGTGTGTTAAATATGCTTTTATCACTCTTTTAGGACTAAATCCAACTTTTAATTGCAAGAAAAAGATTATAATTATTATTATAATTATTATTATTATTATTAGCATTATTATTTTACTCTTGTTTCGGTAAATGATTAATCTCTGGAAGAACAGTAGTGTATATTTAACACACTCTTATTTAAAAGGAAACACCATTTATGTGCACCAGCACCTTTAGTGTGCAGCAATAAACATGTATGTGTTTAATAAAATTATGTCACGCATATATTATTTCTTGAATTTTTCACTTAGTTCGGGTTGTCTGGGCAAAAGTTCACGCATTGGTGATGCATGCGCTCTCTCTCTCTCTGTGTGTGTGTGTGTGTGTGTGTGTGTGTGTGTGCGTGCAGTTGTTGTTGCACTTGTTAATACTGTTTTTCACTTCATTTCTCGAAACAGAATCAATGACACCAAACACTTCCCTTGTAATAGAGGTTTCATGTGGAACCATGCTTCAGCTACATGTAGTCAAAATTCTAAATTCAAGAGGGGACTATTGGTGTGATTTTTTTCAGAAATCGAAGGGGCGGGTCAGGACCCCCTGACCCCCCCCCCCCTCCCAAATCCTGATATTGTTTACTGGGTGCTAGGTCCAAGTCAGTGGAGTTGACGTGGAGAAAAGATTAAAATACACAAACATTTTCTCGGGGCCCCAAACCCCACGCGGGGGGTGGGGGGGGGTGGGGGGGTGAGGGCCGGTTTTGCATTTTTGCATGCAATATATGGGGATTTTGTAATTTTCCCCTGTAAGTGAAGGAGCAGCTATTGATAAAGCATTCATACTGTTATATTTTCTTACCATTAAAAAAAATCAAATTTTGTTTTAAAACCATACAATAAAAGTATTACTTTAAGAATAATTTGTTTTTGGGTGACCTTATTGTACTTTTGTGCATTATAAATTCACCATACTGCCACATAACTACAGTGGATGGGCTGCTGCTTTAGAATTTACTCTTGGATATTACATTGGATTTTTATATGACTAAAAAAGCAGTTATTGATACTTCATTCATACTGTGGTGCTTTCTAACCATTAGATGATATTTAAAGCTATTAAAACAGTATATATTTGAGGTTTTATCTTGAAAGGGTATTTGGGGGGGACATATTGGAATTTTAACGAACGCCAATATATCTTCATTCCATTCCCTACAACTGAGCCAAATTGCATGCTGGTGGGTTTAAAAATGCACGCTTCCTCACCATTGTTCGACAATATTATAGGGGAAACACGATATGACATAACCGCGCATCTTGCGCATGTGCAAGCTTCGTTACTCAAAACAGGTTTTACTAGGCAACAGAGGGGCGTTTACCTGAAACAACCATGGCTCAGAGGCGATATACCGTGTTTCTTATCCTTCTTATGTTGGATCCCAGGTTAGTAGTAGCAAGCAAATGTACCTTCTTTATAATTATTAATAGTAGTAGTGGTGGTAAATTAGAGTCACCGTATGGCCGCATTCAGAACAGTAGACTAACTAGTCCGAGGGTTAAATATGGCAACCCACTAAAAATCTAATCCGCTAATAGACACTGAATTGATTCCCCTTTGGAAAGTATTCAAGTGGGTCGGTCATAGTTGACTAGTTTGTCCACTGTTGACCAACAGATCATTTGTGGTGCATTCCCAGAGATTTAGATCGATCCAGAGATTAAGATTTAGATCGACCTAACTTCCTGGGGGTTCAAGCTAAATTGCAGTCAGCCGAGCGCGCACCATAGTAAATTACCCCCTTACAGCTTTTAGTAGGCGGGACAGACGCTTAGGGGACCGTTCACATGAAAAATCTATTTTCTAAAAATCTAGAAAAAGTAGTATCACTATAAGCTTGTTGAAACATTCCCTGTTGATAAAAATAGCAAACATTACCTTTCCCGAGACCAGATAGTCCTCTCAGGTGAAACGATCAGCAAAGACCACAAAAGCAACATCAACTGTTTTCGCCTCCTAGCTCGCATTCTATAAAATCTCATCCTCCGTTGCCGCATCGCTTGCCATCGGATCATGAGGTTTGCACTCATATCTGTCCTGTGTATAGCTTCTTCATCTTCCTCGTCTTGTTGCTGCACAAAATCGACAAACACATTTTTCAAAGCAACCGCGACCGCCATTTACTTTCTAACTTCCTACTGCGCATGCGTCAAGGTATCAGAATCTCCTCCGAGCGCAGCCGAAAATTAATTACAGCTTTGGAAGTAACTCGCTCGCGCTGCCAGTAATTACGCCGCGGGGTATTCAGGGCACAGACCGTGATCACAAGTTACCGCCAATAGATTTTTAGAAAATAGATTTTTCATGTGAACGGTCCCTAAGCCGACTAAGCTGACAGTAATCTAGTGAGACTCCCCAAAGGGATAGATTGATCTAAAATCTATGGGAATGGGGTCTTAGTTTCAGCTTTGAAGAGAGCCAATCGCTGTAACAAGGGGGGGGGGGACTCCCAAGACTGGAGTATGTTGAATTCATTGATAACCCTGATATTTTGTTTCTTTCAAACACAGTACACTTGAAATAGTAAGTGAACGAAGTAACTACATATAGGCTATCTTCATCCTAAATAAACCTATGAAATATAGCACGTGTGATGAGCTTACTTATGCCCCGATTCGACCTATTTTAGTGTGGATCGAAAGGCTTACCAAATCGGAGTATAAGTTAGACGCTAGTCTACCATAACGCGAAAAAATCAAAATTCATTAATTGTTGGTATATGTATGAGGTACTAGCACATGAGGGTTTTGCGACATTTATTTTAAGTGCTTCAATTTGACCTTTGTCAAAGATATGGGCTGGTTTGGAGATTTTTTTGAGACTATAGAAAGCGATTCTACATTTTTTTTTTGCTAATGTCGGTGGCTATAACGCACCTTTTATTAAAATTACTCCTTGTTTTTTTTTAGGTTCTATGTTGTTGGTTTTTTTTATGTTAAACCCATAATGCTGACTTTCTTGCTTGTTACCGACTCCTTCGTATAATACTGACAGAATCGCATAATACTGACTCCATCGCATTGTTTTGATTCTACTGCTACTTCAGAAGCCTACTGCCATAGTTACAGCTACCACATGCTGCCACAGCTTACTTTTATAGTGTACTTCTATCACTTCAGCTTTAGTGACATAACAGAATCAGTGTATGTAGGCCAATACAAAAGCATTCAAATACCTAAATGTTTTTTCAGCACAATAGGGAAACTGACTTATTGAACTGTAAAGAAGGAGTGCCGGGGTCTCAAAATTGTAAGGCTATATAGAAAAGAGAGCAGACATTTATACTGGTATTGACGTAAGGGAGTTTGAGAGAATTATTGCAACCCGGTGCAGGTTGTCATCACACGACCTGACAGCGGAGAAGGCACGCTGGTCCCACGTCCCTTTAGAGGATCGGAAATGTAGGCCTATCTGTGGTATCGATGAAATCCAAACAGTAGAACATGCTTTCTGTTTTGTCCTGTACCAAGCTCTATACGCAAGAAATTTGCTGTGTGAGATTTTAGCTCGTAGAATATCTTCGGAGAGGAGAACCTACACACGTTATGTTTTCGTTCTAGTAACTATTTTTTAGGCCATATCGACTCGACTAACTTGCGTATGGATATGTTTTTGTTTTGCAGATTGTAGATATATTTGGTTTATTCTGGGCTTGTAAAAATACTTTGTACTTTCTGCTCACGTTGGAATTATCTATCTATCTATCTATCTATCTATCTATCTATCTGTCTATGCCAGCAGAGTAACTTCCCCGGGAATAAACTGAAAAAAAAAATCTAATTATGTATTTGCTTTTTCTGTACTACAATATAATGTATGTACAACGATTGTACTTTGCAGCAAGTAATATTTATTTAAGTCTGTCAGGTGGGATAGCCTGCTAGTGTGGGGTGGGTTGGGGTGGGAGGAGGGTTGCCTTAGTAAACCAAAATGGCTGGTTCTGGAATGGGGTGTAGGCACAGTGTACCACATCGATACCCCCTTACCACCATCCCCAGCCCCAGGGTTTCCAACCTTTCCATCGCCCATTTCTCCCTCCCAAGAAAACCTTATATGGTGACAATACCGGCGGGAAGAAAAAACATGAAAAATATCAATAGCATTGGGTATTTATTTATTTATTTATTTATTTATTTATTTATTTATATAATACCAGTAAGAATATCGGTAGCTAATAAAAGTAAAAATGTCATCCATGATATTTTATATTTGTAAAGTCAGATATTTCTTTGCATTTCGTCGCCCTAATAAGCAAAATCCGTGCAGTTGTACGACCAAGTAGCAAAGTATACGCTGTTACTGACGCAAGAGGCTAGTACACTCAGTCGCATACACTGAACTTCCCCAATGGATGCATGAGAATAGTCGCAAGGTTCAATAGTGCGAAACTTTTTAGCATGTTCATTGGTGTGACATGTTCAATAGTTTGAAGGGCTTTTAGTCTGAAAGAATGAACAGTAGTATAAAAATGTTAAGTTTAGAGGACTCAAAGGGGTATATCTACCTATATAAGACAAAATGAAAATGGGGATTAAGGTTCAATAAACTTAAGTTTGAAAATTATCTTTATTATTTAGAATCAAAGCTTATTGTATACTACAAGCACGTACTTCTAAAGGGTGCAATAAATAATTTTAATTTTATTTGACTGATTTGATGCTATAAAAAGACATTAATTTAAATAGTTTTATCTATATATATATATTTTTTTCCATACAGTGTAGCTGTTGCAGTCCAATCAATTCTTTATTTACCCTATATCGGCTGTTAGACATAAAATTAAGCTGAAATTGTGACTACAGTCGGTGTAAAAAAGGCAAGCTATTGATCGGACATTTCAAAACACAGTTCAGTTTTTTATATCAGTAACGTGCTAGGATGTAGTCCATTACCCAGCAGTGTTCTTCTGACGGGGAACACATTCACTACAGCCACAAATAAAGTATATCTGTCGACTACAGCCGGGGGAGGGTTCGGTTGGTTCGAAAGAACCGCCCTTTTTTTCAGGGAATGGTTCATTCTGGGTAAAATTTGATCTAGGTGCAAAAAGGTGTCATTGTTAAAGGTCCACTTTTTCCAATGAAAGCCCCCACCCCCCTTTGAATTTGCTGGCTACGCGACTGTTACCGTGCTTGCATTGTAACAAGCAGGTGACGTTGAAACAAAGAGGGGTGTATATAGTATAGTCTGTAGCCCTCTACATCTCTTTAGTTGAAAATAATGTGATGTAATGTACACGCTGAAATCACTATAATTTAATAACCTTGATCCCCTCCCCTCCCCTCTGTTTCCACCCATTGTACATTTAGCTGCCATGTCTCCCAGAGTACTTAGGGCATTTCTTCTTTTGTCCTGGCATGTACCAGTAATGCTTTTAAGCATATTAAAATATGAAAATTCAGATTGCACAATTTAAATATCCCCACGAGTCCTGGATCCTTTTTCCTGTGAGAATCCAAGCACTGTGATGGAAGGGTGTTACTGTAGTGTGCCAAACAGTTCGACCAAAATTAATTAATTTTAAGGAAACGTCACTTTGGTCAAATTGATTGAAATACAGCAATGAAAACCGTATTACGTATTAATAAAAAACATTTTTTCTCAATGAAGTGATAATACTGACTATTTAATTTTTTCTTTTATTTGTAGATGTTATATCCATTCTGCCGAGATGGCCGAAAGTGGTCTGGAAGCCAAGTTTTTAGAGTACTGTAAGTCTGCTGGAAGGGAGACTACCGCAAAAAAGGCCACAATCAATAAAATGTTTACAGATTGCGAGCTGTTTAACGATAAGTTTGGTTCAATTGACTTAGATGTCGCATTCCATATGGCAAAAGCAAACGGGTAAATCATTTTATTTCTTGTTCTTAATCTAATCCTTTTGCTGTCAGTGTTTGATTTTGCACGTACATTTAAGCAAGATCTCGCCAAATGCCACGACATATTTTGTTTAACATAAAATTTACTTGGCTACTTAGTTTGATTAAAATGTCAGATGAGTTTGAAAATCAGCATGTTTAGATTACATTTACAAAAGTTATTGGATTTTCTT